GGGGGGCATGGGGAGGGCTGTACAACACAGAGAAGACAGGTGGTGATTATACAGCATCTTGCTATGCTGATGAACAGTGACTGTTGTGAGTTGTGGGGGGGGTGAACTTGTTGAGGGGGGGAGCCTGGTAAACATAGTGTTCTTCATGTACTTGTAGATTAATGATAGCAAAAATAAAATAAAATAAAATAATAAAATGAAATGAAATAAAATAAAATAAAATAGAAACAATACAAATTTTAAAACTACTGAAAGGGAAGAAAAAAATTAGTGAAAGAAAATATCATGTGTCCAGAACTGCTGGCAGCCTGTCCCCCAGCTTCCGTCTCCTGTCACTTGGGCATGCCATCACTGTCCTTATTCACAATGATAATAAAAACGGTTGGCTGGGCCATGGCCTAGTGAGCTGTCTCCAAACCGGTCTGTGGGTCTCAGAATACAGAAGAATGGACACTGTTAAGAGTACCACCTTCCAGATCCTCTACTTCCGTATGTCCTCTTTGCTAAAATGGCTCTTCTAGAGAAGGGAGCTGCAATTCCAGCCCTTCCCAGAAGGCCCTTCTCACACTTCACAGAGGAAAGGCCACCTCTGCTAAGGCACATTGCCCCTGGGGGCTATAACTCTCTGGACAGAACACAAAAGCCCCATTCAAAAACCTGCAGCCTACTGAGAAAATAAAACTCTTAAGCTTGGGTGAATGATCCTTCCACAAGCCAGATGTGTTCCAATTCTTTACTATCCACAAAACTGCCAAACCTAATTAAGTTGTCAAGTGACCAATGATTAAAACACCTTCATGTTAGTTAGACCCCTGTGCTTTGGTCATATGCCTCAGAATAAAGGTTTGGGTCACAATGAGTTAACCCAACTCCTTTCATCCCTAGCTCTTTATTAACTTAAGTTTGGTTTTTCAGATAAGAATCAATGCTGAGCAGCAGCTATTCTGGTCATAGGTGACTCATTCATGGATATGGGAATAAATGGCAGGGATCCCAAGCCATCTCAGTAAGAGATTCCTTTTCAACAATGTTTCCTCTTCATGTTTAATAACTATTTTTTGAAATTTATAATATATTTCTGTTGCTTTGATTAACTGTGCACTATCAAAAATTATAAGAACCAAAACCAAGAAATTTCCTAACACTAAGACTCTCCTGATCACAGTAAACTTTAAAATGCTTATATATTTCAGTTTATATATTATTGTAGTTTCAGATAAATGTGATAGAGTGATCAAGTAAAGATTTTCAAGATGAAATATATAGCACTAAGATAAAATTCTTTCAAAGAAGCAGAATGGAAATACAAGTTCAAGGAAAAAGAAAGAAAATTTCTGACCATTAAAATAGAGTTTGTTCATATACATACTAATGAGTACTCATGACAAATCTATTAGCTTTATGCTGAATTCCACTGGCTAATGTTTAGAAGGACAATGTATGAGTTTTATTTTCAAATGATTATATTTCATTAGGCTGGAAATCACATACTTTGCAACTATTTAAAATTTTTAACAATTTTGATGACAATGTAAAAATGTATGAAGAGGTAGTATAGCTTTTAAAAAATTCTTCTAAGTATACCAACCCCAAAACATTCAAAGGCCAGTGGCCAAAATCACCAGAGATCTCCCCACCACAAATTACATCTGTGAAGTATTCACAAGCTGACACTCCCTGATACTGTATCATGCAGGTGACAGACCTTTCTGTGCCCATCTTTGCCTCACCCAGGTTCCCATCTCCCACAGTCACTGCCACCTCCTGCCTGGGCCCTTTGCCTCCCTCCCCTCCCTCTCTAATGCAGCCTCCACACCACACCAGGAGTGTTTCTCCAACACAAAGGGCATCATGAAACTCCCCAGCTTAGAATTCTTTACTGAGTCTCCCAATAAGACAGGTCTTCCTGACTCCTCAGTGGCACATTCATCCCTGCTCCCCACTCTGCCCCATGATCCCTTACCCATACCAAACCCTCCTAAGCCATTTACTCTTCTCTGAGGCCAGGAAATGCCAAGCCCTGTCCTGAGCTCCTGAGTAACCTTCCTGCCTCTCTCTATCTGGAAAACTCCTACTGCCCTGTTAAGAGAGCTGCTCCAAACTCACCTCTTCCATGAAGCCCTCTGTAACTCACTCCAGGTCTAGAAGACACCTCCCCAACACCATGCCCTTTTCACAGACCTTTACTGCACCCTTTATCTTGTAGTGTTGCTGTCTGCTGGGGAGTCATTGCCTCTAAACTTAGATTCCGAAGGGCCACAACTGTTGCTTAATAATCTCAGCCAGCCTCCTGAAGACCCCACTGAGCCCCAGGTAAGAGGCACTAGAAATGATTGGAACTTATTCAATCAGATCATTTATAAGGTAGCACAGGTCCTGATGAGTTCCTTTCCTTTCACATATGTACTTGTGGAAAAGCCTATTTCTCTCTCCGCTTAATCCTGTCTCAAGCTTACCCATTCCAAAACACCAGCTTGACCCCTCAAAAAGAGCAAACATCCATCCCTCTTCTCTGTCACAGAGCCAATCAAATTCAACATCTTATGACATGAAAAGCTGCCAAAACTTGTAAAAGTACAAGTAGAGTATATATTCTTTGACTCCTCTTTCTATCATATATTTTTAGGGATTCATAGATTCACCTGTGCAGGTCCCTACATCCAGTCACTGGTCTGCATATTGTCAAAATGTTATGCAATTTATAGGCCAGTCTCTCTAGGAGCTAATTGCTAGGCCATATCATCCCTACACAAACCAGTAATTTACCAATGATCCATACATTCATGCATCTAGGATTTACTAGCAACTATTATGTGCCAGGTGCTGTTCTAAGCATTGGGGATGCAACACTGAACAAAGCAGACAAAACTCCCTGTCCTCTCAGAGCTTAAAATTTTATAGAGGGAAGACAGAACTTCAGGATAATAACTGAGTAAAATACACGGCTTGTAAGTTGTGAAAAGTGCCACCAAGAAAAATAAAACAGGGAATGAGCTGAGGAGGTTTAGGTAGGGGCTCTGGTTTTAAGAACAGCCAGGAAATACTTCCCAGAGAAGGCGACATTTGAGCAGACACTGAAAATGATCTTTTCTTCTCACATGGTACTGTAAACTTACAAAATACCTTCTCCTCTGGTTTCGCTTCAGGCTAACACCAGCTTATGGCAGGAAAAATTGTCAGAACTTTTGAAAGTCTAAGTGGTTGAATCTACTTGAGGCAACATGAACCTCAAAGATTTGCCAAGTTCTCACAATCACTTAGGGACAGAGCCAAAACTAAAAACCCAGGTGTTCTTGGTCCCAAATGCAATCTGAAGACACAGCAAGCTACCAATATTTTTACTTAACAAAATGAAGCATGCTTCAAAACACACCAGACTGAGGCAGAGCACTTGAGCAGAGGCAAAGCAGCTGGCTAGAAGCCCCCCTTGGCCTCCTCAGGGTTATCCGGAAACCCACACACAGGCCCTGCTGACTTGGGGCCCTCGCAGCACCTTCTTGCAGAAGGCTGGCCACCCATTTTGGTGTACATGAGCAAGCTGCCGTGCCAATCTATTTCATGGGCTGATCTTGATGTATGCCAGGGTAAAGCCACCTTCCTGTCCCGTGAGAACCAATCTGAAATGTGATACCTCTACCATGTTTCTTCTTCCTTGCATTTCTTTGAAAGTCTGAACTCTGTTTGATCAGGCGACATGGACGGCCAAAAAACTTTGACAACCAGCTTGAAATTTTTTCTCCACAATCATAAGTATTTACCCTGGCAAAAAGAAAAAAAGGAAGGGTAGTGAATGTTATATAGTATTCCTTTAAATAATAATCAAGTGTCAAAAAGATAATATAATGCATCAAGCCCAAGGAAGAAGGAAGCCTAAAGTAATAGACATGCTTAGGAAGCTGCAGGGAGGTGTTTAATGCACAGAAAGACCTGAGATCTGGGGCCTGTGCAAAGCTTTCAGAACAGATAAAAATTTTAGAAGCTCCTCTTAAAATATCTTGTTTATATTAATTATAGCCATTGAGAACCATGGAGTTTGGAATTTGAGAGCTTCCAGAGCACTATTAAGAAGCCTTTGAACCCAGACATATGTCCTGGTTGATTTTCACTATGAGCCTTATTATTATTTCTCTCATGGCCAGACCACATGGAATAATGGATTTGGTTTATAAAAAGAACACCATGCCTGTAAGTTACCAATATAAGTACCTTTAGTGATCCAGTTTTTTAAAACCCTGCAGATTTTTAAAACCCTCTAAATTTTAAATAGAAGTTAAATTTTAAAAAATTATTCTAAAATCTATGCATCACTAGAATTTATAATATAAAATTGCTAATACCTTACACTGGGATTATAAGATAGTTATTATGAGAAAACCTATTATATCCTTAATTTTTACTGGGAAAAATTACTACCTTTCTGTTCTGGAAAGGGAAGGGAAGAATGAAACCTCACTTGGGAACACGTTCTCATTGGTGTTTTGAGAAATCACTGAAATCTATTTTCATTACATTGAGTACTCAAGGTTCTGAACATAAGAGGCCTATCTTCTAGCTATCTGAAATGCTTTCTTAACCAAAAATGGCATTTCTCTCAGATGAAGCTAAATGGAATGTACAACCAGGATGAACCTCAGAAATAACTACAGGTAACCCTAAATGGCTATACTGCTCTCTATTGGAAGATTTTCTGTAGTGATATGCAAAAACATTTACCCGAAATTCATTGCCCTAACTGAAAATGTACAATGATGAATGTTTGTGGAGACAAGTACTGGCAAGAGCACACACAGTGTGTTCAGCTCTGGGGCCTCCAGGATGAGCCAGTGCCCATGATGCTCCATGCTGCCAAGCACAATCATCACACTGTCACCTTCGCACTTTTCCAGTTGACAGTAACCTTCATCACCCCAGTGGGACCCAGGGGCACTAACAAATTTAAGCTCAATGTAGATGTCACGTTAGTACTTAATATATTATTTCATGACTTACATGATAGTATAAGTTTGTGGCACTGCAGTAGGGAATATGATCTGATTCGGTACTATGCAGCACCATCATCTCAGGGCACAAACTCACTAAAGAGTTTACCGTGTTAACTAGTAGGCAGTTACCATTAGCATTTTAAAAGCCTTCTATTATATATATATATCTTTGGTGAACAGTTATGATAAACTGTTTTATTATTTGGGTGGTAAACTGGGTGGGGTATTAGATGGGCTGAGAACCCACTAGAACACAATCAGAAAATGTGTTATTCTACATGTCTTGGGGCCCAGATTAGATTTAAATAAAAAGGGAAACAGGCATTTGATGTACTCAATAAATAGATTTATAAACATTTCAATCAAGAAACAAAACAGAAATGCTATTACATTCAACCTTTCTACATTTCCTAGAAATAGTACATGATTTACCATCAATAACACAGATTAGCTAATTAACAACTATATGGGATATAATTTATGAACTATCACCTGAAAGTTACACAACCTGAGGGATATCTTGACACCTCCTTACCCTCAGCCTATACCTCCAATCCATCAGTTAGCTCAGGTGATTCTGTCTCCAGAATATAGATCTATTGCCCACCTGATTTCCTCCTTGACCCTGGCTCAAGCTTCCACGTTGTCTTACCTGTGCTGCTAACATAGGTGCTCAGCTGGCCTTCCCACTTGTACCTGACTTCCTTCCAACTGGTCTACGCCCACCATCCAGTCTTTCCGAAATGTGCATCAGGTTTCTTCCCTCACCTCTCCACTGCAGCCACCCCACGGAGCTCCACCATGCCTCCTCCAAACTGCTCATCCCTGACCCTCACCCTCGCACACCACACTGTTCCAGGCTCTGAAGTAGTAACACAGATGAGTCCTGCTCTCTTGGAGTTAGCATTCCAGTGGAGGGACTGAAGATAAATGTTGGGAAAACAATCAATGTGAGAACACAGCAGGACAAACAGAGAGGGAGGGACTGGAGAGGCCAGCAGGTGGCCCCTCTGAAAAGGGCAATTCTTAGCAGAACCTTGTGGAAGGGAGATTGGTGGAGGTAAGGAAGCAAGCCCTGTGGAGGTATGAATAGGGGAGAGGGAAAAGCAAGTGCAAAGTCCTAAGGAGGGAACCTGCTTGGTAGATTTGAAGAAAAGGGGCAGTATAGTTAGAGAGGAGTGCATGAGGGGGAAGCAGCAGCAGGCGATGGAGGTGCCGCGGGGACCCATCCACAGGGAGTTCTCTCCTCCCTGTTTGTGCCATCTTGCAGATGGGCCTGATACTGTCACCGGCTACAGTCTCACCTGTCCGCACAAACCTTGCTTTGGCAAATCTGAGCCCATTCACCATTTTCCTCAAGAGGCACCTCTATAGGCTCCATCCCTGATAAACAAAGGTTAGAGGCAAATTTATCATCACACAAAAAGAACAACTATGTGAGGAAAGTCCATTACTATGAAATATACAAGAATTAGAATGATCCTGGAAATTGGCTGAATCAAACAGGTGACTGGGTCTTAGAAATCTCTTTATTACACAGAGAGTCTCTTCAGTATGATCTGATGCCACCAGTGGGCATCGAGCAGCATTCGTGTGGGAATACCCTGGGCAAGAGCGATCAAATCCATAGTCGTTGGAGCACTGTAAATTCCTCTGACAGATTTCTCTACCTACACATCCTAAGGTCATGGCTCTCTAAGCTACCTTAAATTCTTTAGAAACAGACAAGCATGAAGGCTCATTCTATAAAAATATCAACACAGAGTGTCAGTTCTCCACCTAAGATTCAGCATCAAATTGGATTCCTGCACCAATCATCATCACTAAACACAAAACAAAGCAAAACTATTACTATGGCAGTGGTAGGAAGTGGTAGGAAGCTTTTATTTTTTCAGATTGGTCTATTTCAGACTTATAAGGAGTATATAACATATGCATGTAACAGTCTAAAGAATAATAATAATTAATGTTCATGAACCCACTACCCAGCTGAAGTAATACTTACTCTTTAAATAAAATTGGAGTGAAATATGTGGACCCAATGCCGTTAAGGAGAGAAAGGTGTGCGATAAAGGCTGGGCCTGCTGAGGACGCCTGCCACGGCGCACTCCTTCTCACCCCTCCCACAGGAACAGGCATGAAGCCAAGACACCTGAGTAGAATTTGTGGAGGCCCACACTCTGTGGACACCAGAAGCAGGACACACAGCCTCCTCCTGTGCAGCCCACCTGTGCCCTCCAGTTCTCTCAGCATTCTTGCCAGTAACTCTGCTCACCACGATGACCCAACCTGTCCCTCAGGTAAGAACACATCATGCACATCTGCATCCCTGCTCATCCTGGTCTTCCTCATCACACACAACACACACAAACTGGTACCTGCACTCCTACTCACAAGCTTCCGGTTATGCCTCTGCCCAGCCTATGTCCATCATAACAAGCCTTCACCACAACCAAGCCAGAGATGCAACTATTTGTGTAACAGGTATTCCATGAACTATGTCCCCTGCTGACTGCATCTTACACATGCACAGCCATTTCCACACTCCTGTCCGTGTGTGAGGAAGACCAGAAGAACTAATCCAGAATACTCCAGAAGTTTGTAGAAGGAATATGCTGTGCTAATGATATCAGATGCTGCAGTGACAAAAGGGTATGTATGCTTGAGTGCCACATATGCAACCACAGGGGAGAGCAGCAAAGGGAGCTTAAAACACTAGTTATGAGGAAGTAACTAGAGCAGGGGGTACAGCACATGGACAAGGGCCATGGCACAAATGTGCACCCTGGGCAGCCAGCAGGAGGCCTGTACTCATCCTCTTGCTAAACCTTACCCCATACTCCAGATAAGTCATCCAGGTTATTTGGCTCTTAGTTTCCTTACAGAGGTCCCCACAAGCCTCTTGTTAAGGCAATACTATCTGGAGTCACTATATGAACTGAACTGAAGGGTACCTAAGAGATCATTACATATGTACTAAGCTCTGTGCACAGTTGAGAGATACCGAGAAACAAACTCTGTATTCAGAGATCCAGACTCAAGATGCCTAACATCCTTGGGAGAGAAAAGTTGCACAGGTGAGACCATTATAATGCCTTGTTTCATTATTTATATTTATTTTGTCCTGTTATACATGGCCAAAGATGTCCTTACTCCACACACAATGCTGGAAGGCCCTGCAAGTGAATAAAATACCTGATGCATGTGGGGACACCATAGCACCTCACAAAGTGCTGCCAGTATGGGGTGAAAAATATCTGGGTATTTGTTTTCTTTCTCTTGTTCCTTACATTCTAGGTAAACCCTACTCAGTCATGATACATATTTTTATGCTTCAGAGAATAGAATGAGGAGCAATCTACTCAATTCTTTTTGTGTGCTAATATCCTTGGTACCTGAACTTGAACAAGAAAAGTACAATAAAAAAACGTGACATATCAATCTCACTACAAAAATAGGTACAAAAATACTACACAAAATATTAGCAAACCAAATCCATCAATGTATCAAAAAAACATTGCCAATTAGTGTTTTTCCCTTCAAGAGTGCAAGGATAGTTCAATACTAGGCAATCTACTAATGCAAGACACACACTAATAGATTATAGGTGAAAAATATGATAACCAACAGATACAGAAATAGCATTCTGTAAGAATTGACTATTAGTCACCATAAAGCTTTTTTTTTTTTTTTTGAGAGGGCATCTCTCATATTTATTGATCAAATGGTTGTTAACAACAACAAAACTCAGCATAGGGGGGTCAATGCTCAATGTACAGTCATTAATCCATCTCAAGCCCAATTCTCGTCAGTCTCCAATCTTCTGAAGCATAACGAACAAGTTCTTACATGGTGAACGAATTCTTACATAGTGAATAAATTCTTACATGATGAACAGTACAGGGGCATTCATCACAGAAACTTTCGGTTTTGATCACGCATTATGAACTATAAACAATCAGGTCAAATATGAATATTTGTTTGATTTTTATACTTGATTTATATGTTGATCCCACATTTCTCCCTTTATTATTATTATTTTTTCACCATAAAGCTTTTGACTAAATAAGAAAAGATCTACATGAGGCTGGTAAAATAAATCTATCAAAAACCTACAGTAAATATCATTCTTATTTTTGAAACTTTAGAAGCAGTCTATTCAAATCAATAAAAAAGAAGGATGTCTTCCATCACTGCTCCAACAATGTACAAAAAGACCTAACCAATGCAGTAAGACAAGGAAAAGAAAAAAGAGAAAAATTATAAAGGAAGATATGAAACTATCATTATTAGAAGAAGATACACTGATTTACACACAGAACATTCAAGAAAATCTTCAGACCAACTAATAAAACTAACAGGAATGCAGAAAAAGTACTGGGTAAAATATTGATTTAGGAAAATCAATAGTGTTGCTATATGACAATAACCAATTAAAACATTTAGTAGAAAAAAGATGATATTCAAAATACTCCAATAAACTAATATGTAACAACAAATGTGTAAAGATTTTATGGAAAATGAATTAAAATTTTGGAGTAATTAAAGAAGTCAAATGGAGAGAGATGCTATTAATATATAAAAGACTCAAAATTATATGATATAAATTTGAAAATGTCAAAATTAATATACAACATCATCAAAATATGATTACAAAATTTGTGACTTCTGCAATCAAAATCCCAGTAGGACTTACCAATGAAAATACAGAGACTGTCAAAATGGATAAACAAAGCATGAGCCAACTATATGATGGATACAAGAAACTCAATTCACACATAATAGTTTAGGCAGATTAAAAGTAAAATGGAGTTCTTGCAAAAGCGAAAAGACAGCCTACAAAATGGGAGAAAATATTTGAAAATCATATATATGAAAAGATAATTACATCCAGAATATACAAAGAACTTTAACAACTCAATAATTTAAGAACAAATCAGCAAAGAATTTGAATAGAAATTTTTCTGAAGAAGATATACAAATGGGCCAATAAACATATGAAAAGATGGCCAATCTCATTAGTCATTAGGGAAATGCAACTCAAAAGCCACATGAGGCACCACTACACCCACTATGATTGGCTATGAAACAGCAACAACACCAGAAAGTGTTGAGAAGGCTGTGGAGGAACTGGAAACTTCACCTGTTGCTGGTGGCATGTAAAAGGGTGATGCAGCTGCTTTTGAAGTGCTAAACAGAGAGTTACCATATGACTCAGCAATTCTATTCCTAGGTATATACCCAAGAAAATTGAAAACATATGTCCACACAAAAATCTGTACACAAATATTCATAGAAACATTATTCATAATTACCAAAAATATCCATCAACTGATGAATGGATACAAATCTATGGTATATCCATACAATGGGATATCATTCAACAAGATGGATGACCCTTGAAAACATTATACTAAGTGAAAGAAGCCAGTTATGTATTATATGATTGCATTTATATGAAACATCCAGAATAGGCAAACCAATAGAAACAGAAAGTAGATTAGTGGTTGCCAGGGGCTGGGAATGAAGTCAGGAATAGGGAGTATCTGCTAATGGGTATGGGATTTATTTCTGGGGTTGATGTTCTAACATTGATTGTGGTGTTGGCTGTACAACCTTGTGAATATCAAAAAAAAAAACCCACTGAACTGTACCCTTGAAATAGATACATTTTATGATGTATTAAATAAAATCAATAAAGCTAGAAGAAATAAAAGGATGTAAAATGATACACCATGCAAACACTAATCAAAAGAGAGGTAAATGGCTATATTAATATTAGACAAAGAATTTCAAACTTCACACTTTGGAATAAAGAAAATTACCATGTATGAGATGGGCATTACTTAAAGAGAGAATGATTCACCAAGAAGACATAATAACACTGAGTGAAGTGAAAACCAACAGAAATAAAATGGAAAAATAGACAAATCCACAGTTAAAGTTGGGAACTTCAATACTCCTTTCTCAGTAATCAACAAAACTAGTAGTTAGACCCATATACAAAAGTAAACTCAAAATGGATCAAAGACCTGAATGTCAGTCATGAAACCATTAAACTCTTGGAAAAAAACATAGGCAAAAACCTCTTAGACATAAACATGAGTGACCTCTTCTTGAACATATCTCCCCGGGCAAGGAAAACAACAGCAAAAATGAGCAAGTGGGACTACATTAAGCTGAAAAGCTTCTGTACAGCGAAAGACACCATCAATAGAACAAAAAGGAACCCTACAGTATGGGAGAATATATTTGAAAATGACAGATCCGATAAAGGCTTGACGTCCAGAATATATAAAGAGCTCACACGCCTCAACAAACAAAAAACAAATAACCCAATTAAAAAATGGGCAGAGGAACTGAACAGACAGTTCTCCAAAAAAGAAATACAGATGGCCAAGAGACACATGAAAAGATGCTCCACATCGCTAATTATCAGAGAAATGCAAATTAAAACTACAATGAGGTATCACCTCACACCAGTAAGGATAGCTGCCATCCAAAAGACAAACAACAACAAATGTTGGCGAGGCTGTGGAGAAAGGGGAACCCTCCTACACTGCTGGTGGGAATGTAAATTAGTTCAACCATTGTGGAAAGCAGTATGGAGGTTCATCAAAATGCTCAAAACAGACCTACCATTTGACCCAGGAATTCCACTCCTAGGAATTTACCCTAAGAACGCAGCAATCAAGTTTGAGAAAGACAGATGCACCCCTATGTTTATCGCAGCACTATTTACAATAGCCAAGAATTGGAAGCAACCTAAATGTCCATCGGTAGATGAATGGATAAAGAAGATGTGGTACATATACACAATGGAATACTACTCAGCCATAAGAAGAGGGCAAATCCTACCATTTGCAGCAACATGGATGGAGCTGGAGGGTATTATGCTCAGTGAAATAAGCCAAGCAGAGAAAGAGAAATACCAAATGATTTCACTCATCTGTGGAGTATAAGAACAAAGGAAAAACTGAAGGAACAAAACAGCAGCAGAATCACAGAACCCAAGAATGGACTAACAGGTACCAAAGGGAAAGGGACTGGGGAGGATGGGTGGGTAGGGAGGGATAAGGGGGGGGAAGAAGAAAGGGGGTATTAAGATTAGCATGCATGGGGGGGTGGGAGAAAGGGGAGGGCTGTACAACACAGAGAAGACAAGTAGTGACTCTACAACACTTTGCTATGCTGATGGACAGTGACTGTAAAGGGGTTTATAGGGGGGACCTGGTATAGGGGAGAGCCTAGTAAACATAATATTCATCATGTAAGTGTAGATTAATGATAACAAAAAAAAAAAAAGCAGTTCCTGTGTGGTGACCTCCAATGAGTTCTACACAATGGTATAAAGGGCATATAAAAGGGTAGGCAAAGGGTTTGTTTGTGCTTATACAGGATCAAAGCCTAATTTGGCTACCCAGAAAATGAACTAAGATACGATATGAAAAAGAACTTCCAACATCAGCACTCTCTGGAAGACTCATGCCAGAAGATGAGCATCAAAAAACCCCAACAAAGATCCACACACTGCTACAGGTGTATATGCACTCATCCCACCAGTTCCTGGACTTGCCATGGAAATGAAGAAGGAGATATCTAAGCTGGCCTGTGCATACAGTAAAACAACAAATTTGACTGGATCTACACTGTTGGAACTCAACCAAGAATTAGGAGAAGTGCAAATTGTAGTGCTCCAAAATCTTACAACTACAGACTATTTACTGTTAAAAGAACATATGAGATGTGAACAGTCCACAGGAATGGGTTGTTTTAATTTGTCTGATTTCTCTCAGACTGTTCAAGTTCAGTTGGACAATATCCACCATATCATAGATAAGTTTTCACAAACGCCTAAAGTGCCTAACTGGTTTTCTTGGTTTCACTGGAAATGGCTGGTAATTATAAGTATGCTTTGGTTATGTAACTATATTCCTATTATGTTAATGTGTGTGCGCAATTTAATTAGTGGTTTAAAACCTATACATGCTGAAGTTACTATACAAGAAGATATGTCAAAGAAATAATCAATCTTCCCATGTTTTCTTCCGCCTGCTACTTCTATAGCTTTTCTTCTTCCTTCCTAATTACAACCCATAAATAGAATTCGTGCCTCATATCAAATTTACCATGTATCACAATTCTTCCAAGTGGTAAAGATACCTCAAGACAAATGCTGGGCATAGAAGCCACAGGGCATAAATATGCAAAGAAGTAAAAAACTAACCTTTTCAAACAATAAGGCTTCTCTCTCACTTACCAACTTTACATTTCCCTGTATGGCCCCGGAAGATGACTGGTTAGCCAGAGACGGGTAAGATTCCTCAAGGGAGGAACAAACTAAGACAGGCACAGTCACCAGGGAACCATCAGGTGAGGAACTGGGGATAAACAGAGGTGAGGCTCAGAACCTCCCCCCCCACCATTCTGAGAGAAATCTGTTGCATCCGTGGATGTTTTATTGCCCTTGTCTAGCTTGGATTAACACATAGTCTACAGGCACACACCTGATCATCTACATTTGCTCTCTTACAACACTAAACTATGTTTTCTACCTTTATCTTGCATCTACCTACCACTTCAGCATTTTATTAAAAATAATAATAATAAAGAGAGAAATGTGGTATCCACATACAAATCAAGTATAAAAATCAAACGAATATTCATATTTGAACTGTTTATAGCTCATAATGCATAATCAAAACCAAAAGTTTCTGTGATGACTGTCCTTGTACTATTCACCATGTAACTTATTCACTATGTAAGAATTTGTTCTCCATGTAAAAACTTGTTCATTATGCTTCAGAAGATTGGAGACTGACGAAAAGTAGGCTTGAGGTGGATTAATGATTATACATTGAGCATTGAGTCCCCTATACAGAATTTTATTGTTGTTAACAACCATTTGATCAAAACAAATAGGAGAGATGCCCTCACAAAAAAATAAATAAATAAATAAAGAAGAAATAAATAAAATAAAGTACACACTTCCAATTGTAAAATAAGTAAGTAACCGGGATGTAATGTATAGCATAAGGAATATAGTCAAAATATTGTGACATCTTGGTATGGTGATAGCTGGTACCTAGAATTATCATGTATATAAATGTTCAATCACTGTGTTGTACACCTGAAACGAATGTAATACTGTATGTCAACTACCCTTCAATAAAAAATAATTATCTAAAAAAAAAAAAAACAAAAAACAAACTAGTAGTTAGAAAAATCAGAAAGTATATAGAAAAGCGGGAATACCATCAACCAACCAGATCTAACTGACATTTATAGAACATTCCACCCAACAACAGCACATTCTCTTCAAGTACACATGGAACATTGATGGCAATAGATCCCATCCTCAGTCATAAACTAAACCTTAACAGATTTTAATGAGTGAAACTCATACATACATATGTTCTTTCTTCTGGGATTTCAATGTAATTAAACTAAAAATCAATAACAAAGAAAACAAGAAAAGCTCCAAACATACAGAAATTAACACACTTCTAAAGTAATTCATGGGTCAAAACAAATATAGAGAAAACAAGAAAGGACATGAACAAACACTTAACATCATTAGCCATCAGGGAAATGCAAATTAGAACCATGATGAGATGCCATTACACACCTACTAAAATGAACAATATGAAAAAATAATGACAATACCAAAGGTTGTCAGAATGTGGAGCAGCTGGACCTCTGATACATTCCTGGTGGAAATGCAAAATAGTACAGTCATTCTAGAAAACGATTTGGCAGTTTCTTTTAAGGGTAAACATACACTTATCATATGAACCAACAATCCACTCCTATGTATTTACTTATTCTAGAAAAATTACAACTTCTGGTTACCCAAAAACTTGCACATGAATATGTATAGCAGCTCTTTGCATAATTGCTCAAAACTGGAAACAAACCAAATGTCTACCAACAAATGAATGGATAAACAAACTCTGGTACAACTAGTACATCCATACAATGGAATACTACTCAGCAAGAAAAAGGAATGAACTACTCATATGTGCAATAACTTAGATGGATCTCAAAGGCATCATGCTGAGTGAAAGAAGCCAATCTCAAAAGGTCACTTACTTAATAATTCTATTTATATAACATTCTCAGAAAAATAAAACAGATCCCTGACTGCTATGCATTAAGGGTGGTGGGGGAGGGAGACTACAGAGGAATAGCATAAGGGAGTTTTCTGGGCAATGGAACTGCTTTGCATCTTGCTTGTGGAAGAGGCTACACAAATCTTTGCTTGTGTTAAAATTCATATGAGAGAACAAAAGGCCAAGAAGAGCCAAGAAACTTCGGAAGAATGAGGTGGAAAGACATGCCCTACCAGATAGCAAGATTTGTTCCATAGTTATAATAATAGCACTGGCCTATCAGTTCAAGGAAAAATAAACCACTAGAACAAAATAAAACACCTATAGTCAAGAAACACAATCATGAATATATGGAAATGTGATACATCACAAAAGTACAGCTACAATTTAGGAGAAGTGGTATGTGGGGTGGGGAAGGAGGAAAAGTGAGACCAGGAAAAGATACAAAGGGAATTTCAGCTATATCTGTAATGTTTTTATTTCTTTAAAGAAAGAAGAGAAGGAAGAGGAGGAATCAGAAGCAAATGTGGCCAAATGTTAGTATTTTTTTTAATTGGATGTAATTATGTATTACATTATTCCTTATATCTGAGCTATCCAACACTCTCACCACTAGACACTGAAGTAATTTAAATTAATTAAAATTAAATAAAACTTAAAATTCAGTTCCAGTATTCCACTATCCACATTTCAAGTGCTAATAACCACATCTGACTGGTGGCTACCAAATTGGACAATGTAGATATTGAACATTTCCACTATCACATAAAGTTCTACAGGGCAGAGCTGGTCTACATGTGTATATGTGTTAGATGGTTCACTGTAAGAAATCATCAAGAAAGACTTAAAATCTGTAGTACATATTATGATGAGTCACAGATGTGAAAGGACATCATATAATCAAAACTTTGTACGTCTTTACTTTCTGATTGGAATGCCATATCTTTCTATCTCTCCAGAAATTTCCCTAAGACAAGGGGCACAAACTTTTTGTTGTCTCTTCTAAACATCATTGCACTTACTTTAGGATTATTTCACTATTTGATAGAGGAAAATTCATTATCTTACTTTCACATGAGTATAAAAGCTACTCTTGACAGCTGCTCTGTAAAAATGGGCCCAGTTTTCATACCTTTGGCTTTGATGATCATGATCCTTTGCTGTAGGTCAATAAAGGGCTGGATCAGACAGAGCCGGGGCTCCTGCTTCTGACTGAGGCAAATGCCGTTGTGATTGACAACCATCCAGCCTCGGTCGTACAACAGCCCATGATTTCCTAGAGGCCAGCTGGTCACCTAAACAAAAAGATAGCTGTATTTTAGGCCAGGGCTCCACAAAAATGATCTTCACATTGTTGCACAGTGGTTACACAAGTACAGATGGGCTTCATGAATTCAGCATACTTTTGAAGAAAGAAATGGAGGAAGAGAAGAAAGTAAAACAAAGAGGACAATGCTGCAAAGGAGATGGTGTGGGAGCCAAATACCTTCCATTTATCCTCCAGATCCAATTCCCACCCTTCTCCTCATCAACCTTTCTTTAAGCAGGTAATCCATGTGCATGGAACAACAGTTAGAACAAGAATATACATGGAAGGTGAGCCTCCACCCCACCCCAGCTCCTAGCTCCCTCTCCCCCCAAGGTCTGCAAGGCTCCTGCTTTCTGTATATCCTTCCACAGTGGTGAATGCTTGTAGAGGCATATCCTGCTGCCACAGACTTATTGCTCACATAAATTGTGTCTGTACTGGAATGGCCACTGCGGTGATCCACCTTCATATTTCTACAGCATTAAAATACAAAGTACACCCAGTATCCAGATTTTGCATTCTAATACTATTCTCCAATAAAAAAAGAACTAGGGTTCTTTGGAGAAATGGGTGATTCCAGGGCTGGGGAGAGACTAACAGGAGACTATACAAAAGAAAGGAAGTGCTCAAAAAACAAAAGGATGGGGGTACTTCAAAGGGACGTAGGAGCCAACTGAAAGCATACCCAATGTCCAAAACTAGAACAATTTGAGGAAAAATAATATTAACAAGAGTTACAAATAAGGAAAGGAATATAGACAGAATAAACCTTGTGGTGTTGGATCAGAATTGGAGGTATCAGTGTGAAATCAGGACTCTGACTAGATGACAGAGAGAGAGGGAAGCAGTGAGAAGGGGAAATAGATACTATAGATGTGTGTGTGTGTGTGCATGTGTGTGGAGTGTCCCAAAACCCTCACACATAAATATACATGGTAGGCAGAATAACTGTCCCTCCAAAATACCCACATCCTAATCCCTGGAATTAGGCAAAAGAGATTTGCAGATGTGATTAAAGTTGAGGACTCTGAAGTGGGGAGATTTTCCTAGATTACCCATTAGGCCCACTCTAATCAGATGAGTCCTGTGAAAAGTTTATGATAACTTGTTACAGCAGCAATAGAAAACTAATGCAGTATGTTTCTGAATTCTGTGCACTGAGAGGGCAGAGAAGCAATAACATCCCAGAAGCAATGATCAGTCCTAGCAACCAAATACATGTTTCTAAATACCATTCTCTAATAAAATAAGTGAGCTTCCATGATGAAATGGCCAACTCCATTTCCTAGGCAGGGGAAATACAAATGAGTCTAGAATATCTTCTTGTATTGCTCTAAGAAAGATGAGGAAATATCATAAGCACACAGGAGCTGGCTTGAAGGAGCCCCCACTGATCAAATCTGTGGCAATTTAAGCACCAAGGTAAATACTGATAGGCGACAGTCTGTAGCAAAATAGAAATCTGTGAATCCATGTAAATTTTAAAAAAAAGAGAATTAATGACTAAATAAACAAGGAAGAAGGAAATCTCTACCCTACAGTAGAATTCCAAATAATAAATAAATCTAGAAGGAATGATAGAATTTTTTGAATTGCCATTTTGCAACCACCATACCAACAACTGATTTAGGCAAAAGTCATTAGGAGATGCGAAATCTAATGAATAAAAGTTTGATAAGGAATAAGATATTTACATATTCTTAAACTATCTTTCCACAAAATACTTATTAATTAGTAAGTATAACATGCTTACTAATGAATTTTACCATGGAGAAACCTGGCAGACCCATCTTAAGCAAGTGATAAAAATTAACGTCATCAGCATTGGGGCAAATTAACAGGTATGTCTTCTTCTGGGAGGCGCTGCGAAAGCAAAGCATCACTCTCGTAGTACCTCAGGAATACCTCGGGAAAACCTCAGATAATACCATCACCTGGGGGTCAGGAGGCCTTGAGAGGTGATTAGGTCATTAGGGCGGAACCCTCACGAATGAGATTTATATTTTTAAGAGGTGAGCTCCCTCACCACTTCTGCCATGTGAGAACACAGTGAGAAGACATCTATGAAGCAGGAAGTGAGCCCTCACTAGACACTAAATCTGTCAGTGTCTTGATCTTTGACTTCCAGCCCCCAGAACTGTGAGAAATAAATTTCTGTTGTTTATCAGCCACCCAGTCAGTGGTATTTTGCTGTGGTAGCCTGAACAGACTGAGACACCCACCCACCAGAATTCTATCAGGCATACCCCACCTCTGCCCTGCTTGCCCTTACCACGGGTTGTGATTCTGTTCCCTTGTGTGGTATTTGGTCTTGTGTGGGTTTCCTTTCTGAGACAATGCACTGCCTGAGGGCAGGCACCATTTCCATTTTGCTCACCACTGTATACAAGGAGCTGGCCCAGGCCCTGGCAGGTAGAAGGTATGCAGTATGTAGTTTTTTAATGAGCAGAGGGAAGACAATTAGCAAAACATGAAACTTACTGAGTCTCAGTGTCCTCATCTGTAAAATGGGGCACTAATTTCTGCCCATGCAATCTTTGAAATGAGACTATCCTATGGAATGTGACCCATCTGTGAAAATGGAGTCCAGAAAATAGAGTTCCCACAAGGGAAACACTGACTCCTCACCTGCCTCTTTTTGAGATTGGAGGTAAACTTGATCATTAACGGTGTCAGACAGGAGGACAGACTTCTGTGGGACCAGCCTGAAATGTGGGTGTCAAACAGCCTTGACCACGGTTACGTCCAACCAAGAGCCACAGCCTGCCATCCCAGAGGCTCAGGGGTCTAGGGCCTTTGCCTGGGACTTGGGACACACACAGATTATAGAAAGACACCCTCAGTTTGACCACAACAGGGGGATCCAGTCTCCCAGCTCAGGTGACTAACAAGTCAGCACATTTTAAGACAATATAGTACATTGTAGCCCTCCACAGGGAGGTCTGAGCAGAACAAGTCACATAAGAGCATGGACCCACGGAGTCAAATCCTTGCTCTGTCATTTATTAGCAGCTGACCTAAGCCTCAATACTTAACCTCAATAGCCCTTAGGCTCCATATCTGTACAATAGGGATGATATTATTACATGCCTCATATTATTGTTTTGAGGATCGACTGAAATAAAGCTGGAACAAAGCATGCTAAATGCTTCCAGAGAAAGCCAGCACACATATGCAGTCAGTGAAAGTTACATCCATAATTATTAACAGAAACAGGTATTCATCAGTCAGAAACAAGGTTCTCCCAAGGTCCTCCCCATAAGCAGAGTCACATCCAAAAGTCAGCCCAAAGCAGGGAAGTCAGAACAAGAGCAGCTCATCATATATCACGATATTCTGAATCTGATTTTGATGTTCTGCATGCTTTTCATTTTCTGCACTTTTTTGCTTTGATCAAAAAACATTTTATCAGAAAATGTATCAAAAATTGTTAAACAAAAAAGAAGGAGTCTCTGTGCTGCCTTACCTCAAGCGCAGCACAGGATTTGATCGGGTAGAGGTAAAGGTTGGTGATGACATGTGGCCCCAGGCCTCCATCCAGGACTCCTGCAGCTTTCTCTGAAGGGGTCTGCTGGATTCTGGCAGCCTCTGGCAGAGGTAAGTGCAAACCCACCGCATCCACAGTGGTGAATGAGTCATTCTGAACCTCAGAGTCGGTGGCAGCGTCTTGCTGAGGTGAGGGACTGCATCTGTCCACAGTGGCGGGCACAGCACTCTGAGCCTTGCTCTCTGCTGGTGGGGTGCCAGCCTCCCCAGGGATGGCCTGAGGGAAAGGTTGGCCATCAGATGGGTGCAGCCAGGTTGCTATGATGAACCTAAGAAAGGCCTGAGCATCCTCAAGGGTAGACATGTATCCAAATGAAATCCTCACAGATCCTGTAGGCTGTCCATCTATGAGGTCCACATTATCTCCACAGACATGTCCAGCCTAGAATAAAATGGAGATAAGTCAGCCAGAGTGACTCATTACTCATGGATAAATTGGAAACAGTTTTGTAAAACAAATTTAAGACAAAATTAACACAGGATAAAGAACTGCAACACTATGAGCTGTGTGCCTAGTAGTTCTACAAGCACAGGGATGCACTTTTGGGACCTACTTTGCTCAACTATAAATTAGGGTCAATATCAATCTCAAGAGGTCATTTAAAAATTTTAAAGAAATACTTAATAGAAAGCATTTATCCATAGGCATACACAATGCTGACCTACTGAGGTGTCAAAAAACAGACCAAAGTTTCAGAAGCACGATGGGTCAGCTTCTTGGTCTACCAAGGGCTGAGACATGTTCACCTGCTGGCTACTCCCTTTAGCCTCTCTTAGAACCACAAAGAGGCCTCCATTCCTGACAGCTGCCCTTTGACAAGAGGGAAAGACAGAGATGCTGCCCCTATGAATGGCCAGCCCACAGCCACTACCTGCTGGGAGGTGGGGAAAGAAAGAGAGGACATCCCCAAGCCTCTCCAAGCATGGCTGCCAAGTGTGGGTCCCTGCTCTGACAACCTGCTTCCTGCAGCACTATATCAAGATCAGTCACCCAAAGACTTGGGGACACAACATTCTACAGGATCAAATATTATATACAGAACTGCATTTGTTTGTGTTGTGAGCCTCCCTCTCTCTTTTTTTTCTTGTATTTCTTTTATTAAGGTATTATTGATATACACTCTTATGAAGGTTTCACATGAAAAAACAATGTGGTTACTATATTCACCCCTTTTATCATGCCCCCCCACACACCCTATTGCAGTCACTGTCCATCAGTGCAGTAAGATGCCACAGAGTCACTATTTGCCTTCTCTATCCTACACTGTCTTCCCGCTGATCCCCCCAATTCCCTGTGTGCCAATCATAATACCCCTCAATCCCCTTCTCCACCGACCCTCCCCCACCCCACCCCTTTGGTAACCACTAGTCCCTTCTTGCAGTCTGTGAGTCTGTTGCTGTTTTGTTCCTTCTGTTTTGCTTCATTGTTATACTCCACAAATGAGGGAAATCCTTTAGTACTTGTCTTTCTTCACCTGGCTTATTTCACTGAGCATAATATCCTCCAGCTCCATACATGTTGTTGCAAATGGTAGGATCTGTTTCTTTCTTATGGCTGAGTAGTATTCCATTCTGTATATGTACAAAATATTCATTATCCATTCATATACTGATGGACACTTAGGTTGCTTCCCTATCTTGGCTATTGTAAATAGTGCTGTGATAAACATAGGGGTGCATATGTCTTTTTGAATCTGAGAAATTATATTTTCTGGGTAAATTCCTAGGAGAGGACCTCCCAGGTCAAATGGTATTTCTATTTTTAATTTTTTGAGAAACCTCCATATTGCTTTCCACAATGTTTGAACTAGCTTACATTCCCACCAGCAGCGTTAGGAGGGTTCCCCTTTCTCCGCATCCTCACCAGCATTTGTTGTTACTAGTCTTTTGAATACTGGCCATCCTAACTGGTGTGAGGTGACATCTCATTATGGTTTTTATTTGCATTTCCCTGATAATTAGTGATGTAGAGGATCTTTTCATGTGCCTGTTGGACATTTAAATTTTTTCTTTGGAGAATTGTCTGTTCACATCCTCGGCCCACTTTTTAATCGGGTTATTTGCTTTTTGGCTGCTGAAGTGTGTCAGTTCTACAAACAGTGATGGTTTAACTTCTTCTTTACCAATCTGGATGCCTTTTATTTATTTGTGTTGTCTGATTGCCATGGCTAGGACCTCCAGAACTATGTTGAATAAAAGTGGAGAGATTGGGCATCCTTGTCTTGTTCCCAATCTTAAAGGAAAAGCTCTTAGCTTCTCACTGTTAAGTATGATGTTGGCTGTGGGTTTGTCATATATGGCCTTTATTATGTTGAGGTACATGCCCTCTATACCCATTTTGTTCAGAGTTTTTATCATGAATGGATGTTGAATTCTGTCCAATGCTTTTTTAACATCTATGGAGGTGATCATATGGTTTTTGTCCTTCCTTTTGCTGATGTGGTGGATGATGTTGATGGATTTGGATTATTGAACCATCCTTGCATCCTGGAATAAATCCTACTTGATCATGATGGATGATCTTTTTGATGTACTTTTGACTTTGGTTTGCTAATATTTTGTTGAGTATTTTTGCATCTATGTTAATCAGGGATATTGGTCTCTAATTTTCTTTTTTTGTGTGTGTGGTGTCTTTGCCTTGTTTTGGTATTAGAGTGATGCTGGCCTCATAGAATGAGTTTGGGAGTATTCCCTCATCTTCAATTTCTTGGATTAAAGAGGATGGGTATTAGGTGTTCTCCAAATGTTTGATAAAATACAGCAGTAAAGCCATGTGGTCCAGGGGTTTTATTCTTAGGTAGTTTTTTGATTACCAATTCAATTTCACTGTTGGTTTTTGTTCTGTTCAGATATTCTGTTTCTTCCTAGATCAGCCCTGACAGGTTGTATTTTTCTAGAAAGTTGTCCATTTCTTCTAGGTTATCCAGTTTGTTAGGATATAATTTTTCACAGTATTCTCTAATAATTATTTGTATTTCTATAGTGTCTGTCATGATGTTTCCTGTCTAATTTCTGATTCTGTTTATGTGTGTAGACTCTCTTTTTTTCTTAATAAGTCTGCCAAGATTTTATCTATTTTGTTTATTTTCTCAAAGGACCACCTCCTGCTTTCATTGATTCTATTGTTTTATTCTTCTTGTTTTCATTTATTTCTGCTCTAATCTTTAATATGAACCTCCTTCTACTGACTTTGGGCCTCATTTGTTCTTCTTTTTCTAGTTTTGTTAACTGTGAGTTTAGACTGTTCATATGGGATTGTTCTTCATTCCTGAGGTAGATCTGTATTGTAATATACTTCCCTCTTGGCACAGCCTTCACTACATCCCACAGATTTTGCAGTGTTGAATTATTATTGTCATTTGTCTCCATACATTGCTTGATCTCTGTTTTTATTTGGTCGTTGATCCATTGATTATTTAGGAACATGCTGTTAAGCCTCCATGTAGTTGTGGGCTTTTCATTTCCTTTGCATAATTTATTTCTAGTTTTATACTTTGTGGTCTGAGAAGCTGATAGGTACAATTTCAACCTTCTTGAATTTACTGAGGCTCTTTCTGTTGCCTACTATATGATCGATTTTTGAAAATGTTCCATGTGCACTTGAGAAGAATGTGTATCCTGCTGGTTTGGGGTGTAGAGTTCTGTAGATGTCTGTTAGGTCCATCTGTTCTAATGTGTTGTTCAGTGCCTCTGCCTCCTTACTTATTTTCTGTCTGCTTGATCTGTCCTTTGGAGTGAGTGGTGTGTTGAAGTCTCCTAAAATGAATGTATTGCATTCTGTTTCCCCCTTTAATTCTGTTAGTAGTTGTTTCACATATGTAGGGGCTCCTATGTTGGATCATAGATATTTATAATGGTTATATCCTCTTTGGATTAAACCCTTAATAATCATGTCCTTCTTTGTTGAGTTACTTTCTTTGTTTTGAAGTCTATTTTGTCTGATACAAGTACTGCAACTGCTGCTTTTTTCACCCTATTAGTTGCATGAAATATCTTTTTACATTCCTTCACTTTTAGTCTTTGTCTGTCTTTGGGTTTGAAGTGAGTCTCTTGTAGGCAGCATATAGATGGGCCTTGTTTTTTTTTATCCATTCAATGGCTCCACGTCTTTTGATTGGTACATTCAGACCATTTACATTTAGAGTCATTATTGACAGATATGTACTTATTGCCATTGCAGGCTTTAGATTCAGGGTTACCAAAGATTCAAGGGTAATTCCCTTACTATCTAACAGTCTAATTTAACTCACTTAGTATGCTATTACAAACACAATCTAAAGGTTCTTTTTTTTTCCTCCTTTTTCTTCCTCCTCCATTCTTTATATATTAGGTATCATATTCTGTACTGTTTATCTATCCCTTGATTGACTTTGGGGGTAGGTGATTTGATTTGCATCTGCTTCATAATTAATTGTTCTACTTTCTTTACTGTGGTTTTATTTCCTCTAGTGACAGCTATTTAGCCTTAGGAACACTTCCATCTACAGCAGTCCCTCAAAAGTGCACTGTAGAGAGGGTTTTTGGGAAGTAAATTCTCTCAGCTTTTGCTTATCTGGGAATTGTTTAATCCCTCCTTCAAATTTAAATGACAGTCTTGCTGGTCAGTGTATTCTTGGTTTGAGGCCCTTTTGTTTTGTTGCATTAAATATATAATGCCACTCCCTTTTGGCCTGTAAGGTTTCTGTTGAGAAGTCTGATGATAGCCTGATGGTTTTTCCTTTGCATGTGATCTTTTTTCTCTGTCTGGCTGCTTTTAAAAGTCTGTCCTTATCCTTGATCTTTGCCATTTTAGTTATTATATGTCTTGGTGTTGTCTTCCTTGGGTGTCTTGTGTTCGGAGATCTGTGCACCTCCATGGCCTGAGAAACTATAATGCGAATATCATTCCATTTGGATTGGTCACACAGTTCTCTCAATATTCTTTCATTCCTAGAGCTCATTTTTTCTGTGCCTCTGCTTTTTTGCATTCCTCTTCTCTAATTTCTATGCCATTTACTTTCTCTTCTACTACATCTAATCTACTTTTAAATCCATTCATTGTATGTTTCATTTCAAATACTAAATTTCTTAATGATTTAATCTCTGTCCTAAACCAGTCCCTGAGTTCTGGAATATTTTTCTCTACCTCCATGAGCAAGTTTATGATCTTCATTTTGAAATCTCTTTCAGGAAGAATTATGAGTTCAGTTTCACTTGGTCCTTTTTCTGGTGTTTGTGGGATTTTGGTTTGAACCAGGTTCCTTTGGCATGTCATATTTGTATGTGACACCCTCTAGTGCCCAGAAGTTCTACTCTCTGGAGCTGCTCAGCCCCTGATGTGAAGTCGGGGGTTTCAGGGCAGTGGTGCTGGTGTCTGGGGGGAGGAAAGAGCTGTTTCCCACTTCCCAGCTGCTGCGCCTGTCTCCACTGTCAGAACCAGTGTGCCAAGCACACAGGTGTAAGCCTCTGTGCTTTGCATCTGTAGCTGCTGTAGGCAGGTCTTCCCTCTGGTTAGCCTGATGCTAGAGCAGGGACTGACAGTTTGTGAGCCAGTGCCAGCGGAATGCACACCAGGCTGTGTATCACAGTGGGTGGCCTCATAGCTGCTCTGTAGCCAGCCCAGGGGATGGAGTACCTGAAGCTCCTGAATGTCCCAACCTGCTGTGCAGAGTGCACCCAGACTATTTTGTCCACCTATCCTTTCTCTGGAGGAGCAAGCTCTGTGCAATCCTTGCCTCTTTAGCATCCCTCTCACTGTTAGGAAGTCTTCCCAACTGCCTGCCTTTCTCTTGTCCCAGAGCAGCCAGATGTGCATCCCTGTTTTCCACAAACAGCTAGAATCTCAAACCATGTATTCCACCTGTCTTAGCTTTCCAACCCCACAAAACTCCAGAGCCCCATGCAATGTAGCTTCATGCTCCCAGAGCAGATCTCCAGGGATGGGTGTTCAGTAGTCTTAGGCTTCCACCCCCTTCCCGCTACATTTCTCTTCCTCCTGCCAGTGAGCTGGGTTGGGGGAAGGGCTTGGGTCCCGCCAGATCATGGCTTTGGTATGATACCCTGTTCCATGAGATCTGCTCTTTTCCCCAGGTGTGTGCAGTCTGGTACAGCCTTCTTTCCTGTTGCTCCTTTAGGATTAGTCATATTAACTATATTTTCATATTATATGTGTTTTGGGGAGGAGGTTTCTGTGTCATGTCACCATCTTTAATCTATTCCTCTTTTCCTCCCTCTCTCTCTTTTTAAATAAAACTTAGTTAATGGTTGGTTGGGATCTAGCATATACAATATTTAGTGGTATCGAAAAGAAACTCAAGTTAGAAACTATTCTGAAATAAATAAGGGCTCTTTGCCACTCAAATTCTTCTTAAGCAAAATGATTCAATGGGTGAGGGGTTGAGGTGGGTAGGTAGGATGGGTGAGGGGGATAAAGAGGCACAAAAATCTCAATCATACTATAAGTTGGTCATTGAGATGGAAGTGCAGCATGGAGAATACAATCAATAATTCTGTAACATCTTCCTATGTTGACAGATAGTAACTGAGCTAGTTGGGATGAGGATGTAATAATGTATGTAACTGTTGAATCACTGTGTTGTATACTTGAAACCAATATAATATTGTATATCAATGAAACTTCAATTTTTTTTAACATACTTAAAAAAATTCAAAACAATGAAATGAAAAACCTCAGCCCAGGGGACAGGCAGAGAAGAAGGGGATTCCAAGAGCTGCAAGGGTACCCCCTGGAAGAGCTCCTCTCCTCACCTTGCCCAGTGATGAGCCAACTCCAGCTTGGAGACTTGACTCTGTTAATGCTGAATGAGTTAAGGACCCTTACATGTATGAGCACATTCCCATGAGTGCTTGTTCCCTGTTAAATCCTCTTCTGCCTTTAAATTTTTGCCCTAAAAGTAAAAAATGATTGCCATAGAGATAATATCTTGAAACATTTTCTATTTTTCTTGACCCCTTTTCCTTTGTTTACCCACAGGGTGGGCTTGGAGAAATAAGCCTGCAAAACCAGCCCAACCCCAAACACACAACCAGCTGCCAGTATTGTTGTGGAACCACCACTGGGTCTTGCCAATCAGGGTTTGAGACACAGGGTCCAGTACCAACCTGAAGATGCTTCTTAACCATCTTGTCACTTATTCCCAGGTGCCTCTGGCAGGCCCCAGTGTTACAGAAGCAGCCAGTTCGCACTTGGATGTTGTAAAGGCTGGCCATTTTATCCACCTGCAGATTTAATATGACAGGGTACCAGGGTTAGGAATGTCCAGTTTTACACTGATTGCCTGGGAGAGAGTTTCAGATTAATATTTGGACCTCTAATTTCTAACAATAAAATGAAAATAATGAGCTTGGAATTTTGCTCTAAAGTGCCATAATCTATCACAGACTTACTAATAAAATGTTACTGATAATTAAGTTTATCAAGTTGGGTTATAGATGTATGCCTGAGAAAAGTGAAAATATCAAATTTAGGCCAAATGACAAGTTACATGTAAAGCAAACAACCCAGTTAAGATAATGGACAGAATATTTGAATACACATTTTTCCAAAGAAGACATACAGACAGCTAGCAGGTACATTAAAAAGGTGCTCATCATTGCTAAATCATCAGAGAAATGCAAATCAAAACCACAATGAGATACTACCACACAACTGTTAGAATGGCTCATATCAAGAAAACAAGAAATAAGAAGTGTTGGTGGGAATGTAAATTGGTGCAGCCACTATGGAAGAAAGTACAAAGGTTCCTCAAAAAATTAAAAATAGAACTGTCATATGACATAGCAATTTCACTTCTGAGTATTTATCTAAAGGAAACAAAATCACTATCTTGAAAAGATATCTGCACTTACATGTTCATTATAGCATTATTTATAATAGCCAAGATATGGAAGGAAGCACCCCAAGTGTCCATAGAAGGAAATGAATAAAAATAATGTGTATACACACACATATACACAATGGAATATTACTCACATAACAAAGAAGGAAATCCTGCCATTTGTGACAACACGGATGAACCCTGAAGGCATTATACTATGTGAAATAAGTCAAACAGTGAAAGAAAGAAATACAGAAAACAGATTGGTGGTTGTGAGGCAGGGGGTGGGTGAAACCAGTGAAGGCAGTCAAAAGGTACTACCTTTTGAGATAAATAAGCCCTAGGGATGAAATGGACAGCAGGGTGACTATGTTAACAAAACTACTGTATTGTATATCTGAAAGTTGCTAAGAGAGAAAATCTTAAAAGTTGTCATCACAAGAAAAAAAATTTGTAACTATGTGTAGTGATGGATGTTAACTAAACTTATTGTAGTAATATCATTTCACAGTACATGCATATATCAAATCATCATTATATACCTGAAAACTATATCATGTTATATGCCAGTTATCTCAATTTTTAAAAAATTTTAGTGACTTAATTTTTTTTTAAAAAGAGCCACATGTGGAGTGTAAAAACAAAGCAGAACTGAAGGAACAAAACAGCAGCAGACTCACAGACTCCAAGAAGGGACTAGTGGTTACCAAAGGAAAGGGGTTAGGGAGGGTGGGTGGGGAGGGTGGGAGAAGGGGATTAAGGGGCATCATAATTAACAATCACAATATAGGTAGCGGGGAAGGCAGTACAGCACAGAGAAAACAAGTAATGACTCTATAGCATCTTACTACACTGACAGTGACTGTAGTGAGGTGGGGGAGGGGACTTGATAATAGGGGTGAATGTTGAAACCATGATGCTGTTCATGTGAAACCTTCCTAAGATTGTATATCAATGATACTATAAAAAAGAGAGCCACATTTTTTAAGAGATTCACAAGAATAAAATCTGAGTGCGCCTGGGACATGAGGCACTCCTTGGTATCCTCTGCCACATGATTGATCACAGAGCACACTCCTCAGGCTGGCCTCTGCTCAAAGACTAGAATATAAACATTACTGTGTTGACACTAGTGTCATCAATTTGCACTTAATAATGTCTTTAAATTTGGGCTGAATCACAGAATTGCTATTAATGCAGAAGGTTCTTTCCTGTCCCCTGGAGACTCTGGGAGGAGATTTCACATTCATTCAAGGCTCAAATATAGGGCTACCACTGTGAGTATTTGCCCAGCTCCTCAGGCAATGGGTCAAAGGCCCCATTCCCCCAAGAATCTGGGTACTCAGTGAGGTTTCTCAGCTCAGGTGACTCAGGCTAAACTCGGGGGAGTCACCTAACCACACTCAGGAAAACACCCACATCTTGCCCTTTGCTACTTTTCTCCCAGGGAAGTCACATGTGAGGTGGCCAGAGGCAGCCAAAGGGAGTATGGTGCTCTATGCAGACTACAGGTCATCAAACCATCAGCTTGAGCTCCCGGAAGCGCAGTGCATAGCAATGGTGCCTCCTATTCGTCCTTGACAAGATTGTGACTATCTTCACGTAGCTGTCTCCCTGGACTGTCAGAGTGAGAAGAAGCCATTCTTGGGATTGAAGTGAGGGCCCTCAGGAAAACAGCTCTGTTCCTTTACCCTTGGCAAATAGCTCAGTGGCACAGGAGCCTGCTAATTGTTCAGGAGTTTGCTGGCTCTCTGAGACGAGGTCTGGCATCACCACTGTATCTGGCCCCCTCCATCTCCAGAGTCAGGTGGTCTCCATACAAAGGGCAGCTTCCAAGGAAGCTCCCTCACTTCCACATCCCAGTTCCTGCCAAGCTGAATTCGAAGTTTCCTGTGCCCACCTCATGGCTGTCCCAGTTACTATTCCAGTTACTACTGCTGTGAAACAAGCCACCCAAACTTGGTGGGGAAAAAAACATTTCCTTGTGCTCACAGCTAGTGACTCAGGAATTTGGATAGGGCACGGAGTTGACGGCTTGACTCTGTTCCTTGATTTCTCAAGTGTCGGCTGGGAGGACTCCAAGGTAGGGATTTGGAATCACCTGGAGACTCACTTACTCGTGTGTATCTTGCCCCCCATCTGGGAGGGCTCTGCCTCACCTCTGCACATGGCTTGACTTCCTCACAGCATGATAGCCTCAGGGTAGAACTTCTGACATGATAACTTAGGGCCCCAAAAGTGAGTATTCCAGGGAACAATGCTGATACTGCAACACCTTTATTGACAGCCTCAAAAGCCATTCAGTGTCACCTTCTGTGGCATTCTATTGGTTATAAGTGAGTCACAAACCCACCAAGATTTAACGGGAAGAGAGAGGGACCCAACCTGAAAAGGATGTGGATAGAAGTTGTTTGGACCACCCTTACTCTCTGCCTTAACTTCCCATCCCAAGTCAGACTCCTCTCACCCTGAGCCCTGGAGGATCCCACATAAGCCTGGCCTGTGCCCAGCAGGTGAAGGACAGGCTGTGGCAGGACAGGCTCTGCATCCAGGGGGGATGAGACACCTGCCTGGTTGCAGTGCAGCACTGGAGCCTCCCCACCCAGGAGCCTTTTTGATCAATGCTTATTGAGCACATGCTCCATACTTGGCCCCATGCTCAAATAACACTACCAGCAAGGTACTTTGCATTTCATAAGACTTAGTTTACATAAACTTGCCCATGCTCACAGAGCCTGCAGAAGCAGTGAGAATTGGAACCCGCACTTTTAACCACTGTCTAGAGGAAATTGGAGTCCTGGATACCAAAAACAAGAACCCAAAGACTTCTCATAGAAGGCTAAATTCTTTTACACATCCCCCGAAAAAAAGAGACAGCCAAACCCAGCCATGATGCGATCTGATCTTTCCAAAGGCCACCAAAACCCCTGTGGATTTCCTGCACTGTGAAGTAGCCCAGAAAAACCAAAGTTGCACATTGCTGAATAAGCACCGCCTCAGCCACAGATTCACCTGTGATTGACACCTTTATTTGATTTTAAATTTAAAGCCACTTCAATTGGCTTAAATTTGATTTACAGCCAAAACCAATCTAAGAAAAAAGAACAATATAGTTTCTGCTTAAATTTGATTTATAGCCAAAACCAATCTAATAAAAAAAAACAGTATGTGTTGATTCCTGGAATCTGGTGTGAGTCATGAACAGTGTGCAATAGGAGCTGCAAACAGTTCTTGTGATCCTTCTGAGGCAAACCCAGACAGGGAACATGTAACACCCCTATGTAAACACACAGGGGTGTCCTGTGTCCGACTTCAGGGAATGGGAGTCCTGGTGGAGTTGGTGAGGCACCTGGACAGGCAGCGCTCCCTGATGGCTCCTTTTTGAAGCTTCTCTGGGCAAATGAGGAACTCTCTCCAACCACAGCACACTGCACGGTAACCTCTGCCCTCCTCCACACCCCTTAGGAAATACAAACCGACTTTATGTTCAAGAATGAAACTTGCTTTACCAGTTACCTAAAAAAAAACATTTAAGAAGGCAAACCTCTGCCCCTGATGTGCTTTCCACCTGCCCTAGAAGCATGTAAAATTGCACACGTGCTAGTGGCATCAGGGCTGCTTCTGCCGCTGTGTAGCTGAGGGGCAGTGAGGGTCTGCACAGTCAACCTACGACTGTGGAATGTCTGCCCATGAATACCTCTGAGAACTGACATTGTCTCCAGAAGAATAATTCTTAAGTTTGTTCCTCAGATAGTTTAAGGCCATTCAGAAGAGGGGGGCTGGGAGTGATTCCTTGGCAACTGGATGTTATTTGAGAAATTCTGGGTTTAACAAAGGTGAATGGAGAGTGTGGCTTTCAAGGGAAGAAGAGCATCATCTTCTAAACTTATCTGATGACAGAACCTGCTCTTCAAAGAACTGTGCTAGGAACCTGTGCTCTGGGAAGGGCCTTGGGTCCCCATATCCAGCAGATCTGTGATACTCCATCGGGTGGCATCACACAACACCATGTCTGAGTGCTTGATGCAACTTTTTAAGGGACGGGGCAGGTACCAGCTTACTCAGCTGTGACACAGACCCAAGCAATTCCCAATATGCAAACCACTATTTGCACAGGTTTCACAGGAAAATACATACAAAGGGTATATATACAGCAACTATTTTATCAACCTACCAAATCCTTTGATGTAGACACCCCAGCAGTTAACCTTGCTGTAATTTAGTTTCTGCTTATGCTTGATTTATAGCCCAAACTAATCTAAGAAAAAAGAACAATATAGTTTCTGCTTAAATTTGATTTATAGCCAAAACCAATCTAAGAAAAAAAAACAGTATGTGTTGATTCCTGGAATCTGGTGTGAGTCATGAACAGTGTGCAATAGGAGCTGCAAACAGTTCTTGTGATCCTTCTGAGGCAAACCCAGACAGGGAACATGCCGTGAAACTCATGTAACCGGATGATTTGACTTAACACAATAGGAACATAAAAAACATATCTAGTTTGCGGTTGGTTGATTCAATGAGAAAGTAAATTCAATAATTATTAACCAATGATTGTTTTTCTGCTCGCTGCAACCTAATGAAGATGCAGGGGAAACACTGACTTGGTGCTTTGTCTCCAGAGGAAGTCTAAGCCCTCTTCCTGAAACATCATTCTGACTCGGTTTCTCATTTTCACAGTCCCTGACTACAATACTTTGAACTCATAGTATGCATGAAATGTGGCAGAAATAAGGGTCTTTGTGATGCTAAGGACATCATTTCTACTTGTCATAAGGAGTTCTGAATTACAAGCAACAAACAGTAGTACCAGGCCTATAATTTAGCACGACACTGCAATATGCTTCGATGTGTCACAGGGGTTACCAAGCTGTCTGTATGTGAAATGACTTCAGACATGGCATTCTGTCTACCCTATTCTGATATGTCTTCCCTTGCTGTCACCTGTCCCTTTCCACTGCTACCAGACTCAACCTCTCTCTTCCTACGTGAAATTGATCATTTCTGGCTGAATAAAGAGGGCTGGAAAACAAAATAGCCATGCTTATTAGAACTGTGTGTAAATGAGAGTTAAGAACCTATAAGGAAGGGCCAGGAGTCATTCCAGCAGTACACAGTGGCTTTGTTACAGCTGCTGCAAGAGCCCAGAGCCCCTGACAGCAAATTTCAGTGCTCAGAAAGGCACAGAGATGTGAAGGAGAGCAATTCTGTTTGAGCAGGCCAGCAAGATGACAAGAAAACTCACCTGGGAGTACCCAATGATCTTCCCGTTGTAGTCGAGTACATTAAAATTGATGACTGGACCCTGAACGTCCGGGCTGCTGAATTTAGAGTCACAGTAAATCCGCACCACAGGGCTTCCATTGGGGTAGTGGAGAGCAGACAGGGCAGTGTAGGTGTACTGAGCCAAGGTAAAAGTGTGCTGCTGTATGTTCCCCATTCCACCTTGAAAAAAATCACAAAGCACCAAAGACAATCATGAACTATACATAAAATTTGCTTTCATTTTTAAGAAAACAAGATCCTTATAACTGGCACAACTGGAGTTCCTATTAATGGTGTTAAATGCTGTTAAATATTGTATGCTACTGCCCATATGATAAATGTTTAAGTCTTTGGTACTGAACGATAGTTTACCATTGCTGTTTTTATGGAATTTTTCCATAGGAATTGTTGTCATCCCTTTTTTTCTTAAAATAATGTTACTTACCATTTTTTTTGCTGTTTGTTTTTTATTATGTTTAAATCATTTTAAGATTATATAGAACAGTTAAGGATCCATGCTACAACATGAATGGACCTTGAAAATATTATGCTAAGTGAAATAAACCAGATAACAAAAAGACAACTATCATAGTATTGCTCTTATATAAGGTGTCCAGAATAGGCAAATTCATAGAGTCAGAAAGGAGAACAGATATTACTAGGGGCTGGGGAGAGTAGAAGTGGGGAGTTGTTTAATGAGTAGAGTTTCCATTTAGGATAATGAAAAAGTCCTGGAGATGGATAGCAGTGATGGCTTCACAACAATGTAAATATTCTTAATGCCTCTGAAATATACACTTAAAAATAGCTAACATGAAGCATTATGCTCTATGTAGCTTACCACATTTTTTTTAAAGAGCAATTAAGTAGGAAAAATCAGGGTTTGCCTTCTTGTAGAACTGGTATTGTCAATCTGTCTTCAGTAGTGCCCTCTGGCCCTGTCACACTTGTCACCTGTGGTTAGGATACCTTGTTAATATCTTTCCTTGGGAAAGTGCACATTTCTCAGTGCTTGTCTTTATTATCTCATGGATGATGCCTGTGCATCTCCCTGAATTACCGTCAGGGCAACACTCCCTTCCCATGAACCCTCTCTACCCCAGTATGGGGCTAAGGCTGAGGACCTGAAAGGTCCCGTTACTATGACAAGAGAGCTAAGCCACATTCCCACATTCCTGGTCACCACACCTGCTTTCCATATGGATGGTTCAAGCAGTGCCAGCCAGTTCTAGAAGCTTAGCCTCTAGAAGGAGCACAGTAGGATGGTGGATACCCGGCTCACCAGACAGAGGTTCTTCAGTCATGTACTTTGTGTCAAGCCCCATATGTTGGAAAGTAGCATCTGTCTATGAGGAGTGCCCCCCACCAACACACACCCACTAGCACTTGTCAGGAAAAGAAGATATGCATGATTGCAAAGGCCAGCTGCACAGACGGGGTTCGGGGCTCAGGGTTGGGCATTAGTATGGACTGGGTTTAAATCCTAGCCTCCCAAGTACCAGCACCCTGGCCAGGCATCTAACCTAACCTCTCTGAGTATGAGCTCCTTCATGGGCAAAGGGGGCTCATCACACAGTCCCCCCACGGGGCTGTAGGGAGGATCCAGCAAGGTAATGGCTGAACAAAGTCTCAGGATCTGTAATGGGTCCCAGCACAGGGACCAAGGACAGCTCCTCTGCTTCTGGGAAGCTGTTGTCTCCTGATTTTGAATGTCTATTACCTGTTGAAAATGTTCCTTTAACTGACAACAACAAAAAGCCTCAGTCTCTTGCTCTTGCCTCAGAAGTCATTCTGAAGTTCTTTAGAATCAGCTTCAACTGCATCAGTGCACAGCTGCCACACTATCTCCTTGGGCTGAACTGCACCCATGTCAGGGCTCCTTTAAGGATATGGGCAACAGGAGGAAATTACACATGGACAAAAAGGTTCCACTGACCTGTGAGGCGCTCTAGGGTATCAAATCCATGCTTTAGTGCTATCACGGCAAGGAATGAGATGGTGCCGTCTTCAAACCTGTAACCATGGTGAGAGGGGCAAGGTCACGCTGTGGCCAACATCGCCATGTACATTTTGTGGTATATAACAGAGTTTTGATTCTAAGTTTAAACATAATCTACAAATACTTTCCTTCTGCTGCCCCCACAAGCCTTGCCCCTCAGGACAGAGGGCTTTGCACACCAAGACCCATTGGGCTGCCTCTGGGCAGCTGCAGCTTTCTCAGGATAGGATGGCAGTGGTGATAAAGGGCCCTGAAAGATAGTCGCCACCTTGAGATACATTATGCTGCCCCCAGGAAGACTTTGGACTTGACAAAACCTCAAATGTTGTAGACTCTTGCAGTGCTGCCCTTGACCCCAAGAGAGCACCACAGAGCATCAGTTCAGTGTGATCACCTGTGATGCAATGAGGTTTGTAACAAAAGTCCATTATTTCAAAGTCTATAGAACCATAGGCTTTGCAAAAAATTATGAGGCTTTCACTATAGTACATGATTATCAAGGTGTTCAATATGTTTGCATTTATAATTATTCATTTAGTGCTCATCAAATCTTTATTGTCCACATACTATGTACCAGGCACTGTTCTAGGTGCTAAGGATATGGTAGTAAACATGCCAGGTAAGATCTCTGCCCTCAAAGGGCTTCCATTCTCCTGAGGCCCTAGAAACGAGAAATACAAACAACAAACAGGAAGTGAGAAGCCAAGTAAGCAAGAGGCCAAGTCATGACAGTGCAAGGAAGATGCAAAGTACCAGTTTTGAAACAGCTTAGTTCAGTTTCAGAGAGAAAGAGCATTCCAGGGAAAGGCTGCAGCATACACCCGCAACAGGCAGAGCCTGGCACAATTCCCAAAGAGCAAGGAGGTTGGTGGGGCTGGGAGTGAGGGGCAAGGTGGAGAGTAGAAGGAAATAAAGTAACAGAACTTCCACCCTGGATGACGTGACATGTGGCTGGAGGGCTCTGAGCAAAGGGGAGTGACAGAATAGGACCTAGGCTTTGACAAGCCACCTCTGAGTACTGAAAGAGTGAGGCAGAAGCTAGGCAGCAGTGGGTAGGTTTCAGCAAGCATTGGAATGAAGTTTGGTGACAAATAGCAGACTTACACAAGTGAAAGTTTTCAATGGAAATACTGTTTTGTATTTTAATACTGTGGCTATAAGATTTGCTCAAAGTACTGTTAATGCAATATTAATTTCCTTATAAAACAAATCATAATTAAAGATGCACAGAATTGATAATTAGTGAGTAATGAATCAATTACTAATTGATCACTAGTGGATTAGTAAATAATCTTTAATAAATTAAATATTACTAGCCAATGATGATGTATATTATTGCTTAATTAATATTAAATAATAAATAACTGTTAATAAATTATTAAATAAATTAAATAATAAATTGTTATTAAATCAACAATAGTTATATTTAATCAAAAATTTATAGACTTTGGAAAAGGGAGGTGTTTTTGTTTCCATCAAAGGTATCTCATTGGGTTATTAATAGCAAAGATTAAGAACATGGTACAGGTACAAGTTCAAGAAACATTTGAGTTTTGGGTATTAAAATAAAACTCAAGTTCTAGTCATAAGTTCACACACAAAAAAATAGGCTTCTAATGGTAAATAAATACATTCAGCTTCCTGGGGACTGTTGGTGTGGCACCTGCTGTGAGGCAACCCAACCAAACAGAAGTAGAGCTCTGGTCCAGCCCAGCCCACCCCTTTCCAACCCAAGATGAGCTGTCCCACTTTTCTCAGCCTTCAGGTCCCCCTATGGGCTCAATAAAATTCGGATTGTCATTTTGTCCTGACTTTGATTTACATGATGTGTGCCTGACATTCTTTTATCATTTGGTCACATTACATGCTATATTACCACATTTGTATTCAAAGGGCTTTAATTAGCATTCCTGTTTTAGAATCTCCCAACTGTGGAGAAGCCTTACATAAAAGACATCAAATGGCCTCATAACATATTGATGCCAACTCTACCTTGACGCTTCACCTATTTAGCTCTAAAGAATCATATCCTTTTAGAGACCCACATTCTAGGAAAAACATGAGGTATAGAGATCAAGTCAGATTCCCTGTTCCCATGGCTGGTGTAGAGTGGAACCAGGGCTCACTCCCCAGTGACCCAGCTCGGAGGCCTACATGCCTGACCACTGACTCTGCTGCCAAGGCCATACCCCTGTCTGTAGGAACCTTGGGTCTGCACCTGAGTCTGAGGGATCTGATGCACCTTCCCATCCAGACCCCAGACCTTCTCAGGAACCAGCAGAGCAACTAGCTCCCTGCCCCAACCCTACAGTTTTCCCTGCTGCTGTGCCCAGCAGAATCCTAACCATCACCATCTAGGAGGTTCCTGAGCATGACCCACAATGCCCCTGTAGCCTGAGGAAGACACATACACCAATGAACCCAGGAAGAGGCCTATGTCATTTGAGGACCAGTACCTGCTTATCCTCAAATTTGCTCTGCAGCTCACAGTGGGGCACATACAGAGACTGCTCCTAACAGTGCCCCACAAGTTCACTGGCATCAGATTTAGTTGATTTTTCTTGCCAACCAGCTGCAAGCTAGGCTGATTTTAGCTGCTGAAGAGCTAGTTATGCTGCCAACATGTATGAAAACTTGTTCCAAATGGTGCCATCTTTTTAAATCACTGCTTTAATGGCTTCACCTCTTGTCAATGCTCTGGGCAAAAGTCTGGTGACCTATCTACCCTCTTTACTCCCTTAGGAGCCTTTCACCTCTTCTGCTTGCAGCCCTTATCTGCAGGAGTTTGTCCTCCCACAGCTGTGGAGAAGGCCATAAGCAGGGGCAGTTCACTGAGCTGCCTGTGGCATGCTCCAGCCAACCTCTGTCTCCCAAATCTGAGCCCCACTGCCAGCCTCCATCCCTGACCTTGTGGTCCAGCCTGGTCCTTTGCACAGTCCTACAGGTGGCATATGCTGGACTCTGACTTTGCTGAACTCCAGCCAGCTACTCCCATGGCAAGGTTACCTTTCAGCCACTGACTGTCTCGGGATATAGAAGTCTTCTCCTGCAAGGTATGCAGCGGCTGTGCCTCCTCCAAAGTAGGTTTTCCTCAGCAGAGGAGCTACACGATTATTCACCAGCAGAACACCCAGGCCAGTGGGGAATCCAAAGATCTTATAGAAGGAGATGGGGACAAAGTCGGCCTGGTGAACTGATAGGTCCAAAGGTGAAGTACTCACATAAGAAGCTGCGTCCAGCAGCACAAACCACTTCCCAGGTGTGCTTGCAGGGCATCTCTGCCCAGACTTGACCTCTCCTATCCAGGACAGAGGGTATCTGGTTCCAGAAAAGTTACTCTGAGCTGGGTAACAGAAGAGATGAGGAATCTGGCAGTCAGGGTTGCTAGAAGCAGCATCCTGTCTCTGAGCCGACCACACGTCCTCCGGCCTGACAGGGATGGAAGTGACGTTCATGGCTGTAGCAATATTCCTCATGCCCACCACGGAGGTGTGGCTGTCGGTGAGGTAACAGAATCGACTTCCGCTGCTCTCTGGGCCTGGAGACACCCACGGGAAGGCCTCTGCCACAAGCTTAAGAGCAGCTGTGCTCCCAGCTGTGAAAATCACACTGTAGTCCTCTGGGGAGGTGTGGAAGTAAGCCAGAATCCTGGAAGAAGCACAGCACCAAGCAACTCCTTGGTCTCACCCGTGTTAAATGTTTAGAGGTAGTTGTATTTCTGCAAAACCTGACATCTCTCTACCTTAACATCTAGGTAGGCTTTGCCACAGTCATTAAGTTAGGGCAGGGGCAGAGGGAATTATGGAAGAGATGACGAACAGGTGCAAACTGGCAAATACCCAGCCTCCCAAGTCCCCGCCCTCAACTAGATAAGAAGAAAATCCACAACTACCTTGATCTTAGTTGAAATAGCCTCCCCTGGTCTACCGTCCAGCTCTATCACAACAAGTTTTCATCAACACTGATTTTAATATTGGCAACCCATTATCACTTTCAACTGGAAGTAATTTGAAATTGTATCAATTCAAGTAACTTAGGTACCACCTGGAAATCATTTACCAAAATAATAATTATTTACCAAAAACTAATTATTACATGTGGAAAAATACAAAGAGGTGTTTCATGTGCAAACATAGTAGAAAGTGGGGGAAAAGATAAAAAAAGATGCCCTAATGAATCATGAAAAGAAAAGTCAGAGGAAATTTTTCTTCTCTCTGAAAAATAAGACTTAAGAAACTGGGTCATTCCCTGTCATCTTAGCCCCCAGGAATTCTGGCACCAGCACAGAGCCGCACACAACAGCTGTGCACACATCAGACCCACCTACCTGTCTGCCCCACTTGGCATCTAATCACACTCACCTTCCTGTCCTCTGATCCTGTTTATCACTGTGCATGTATGGCCATTTAGCTGAATGTGATCTTCATGAAACCACCTCAGATTCTCTGTAGGACATGGCAGCTGATAGTAAGGATGCCCACCCACCTAGGAGTGCCCAGTGGGGCTGCCACCTCTGCTGCTCACCTGTAGCGCACCTGCTCCACAGTGTCATGGGTGAGCTTGCTGCTGATGTTCTGGCTGTGAGGATTGCCTGGTAATTACAAAGACAAAGCCATCGATTCACCACTTATGGTCTCTCCTTTTCTGTTCCTCTAAAACCCTCTCCTCCCCAGTTTCTCAAAAAGTTAAGCATAAAACTACTATATGACCCAGCAGGGCCACTCCTATATACTCAAGAGAAGTGGAGATATATGTATACACAAAGATTTATGCACATGAATGTTCAGCTTTGTTTGTAGCAGCTTTATTTGTAAAGCCAAATTCTGGAAACAAAAATGTCCATCAACTGTTGAAAAAAATAGACAAAATGTGGTACATCCATATAATGGAAAATTATTCTTAATAAAAAGGAACAAATCACTAGCTATGTCATAAATGACATAAAACATGCTAGGCAAAAGATGCCTGAAACAGGAGGTCACGTAGTGTATGATCCCATTTACATGAAATGTCCAGCAGAAGCAGTGTATGGAGATACAGAAAGTAAGAGATTAGTGGCTGCCTGGAGCTAGGGGGTCAACAGGAACAACTGCAAATGAGCATCAGAGATATTACTGAGGGAATGAAAATGTTTCTGATGCTTTATAGTGATGGTTGCACCACTCAGTAAAGTTACTAAAAGTCACTGAATTGTACAGTTGAAATAGTTGAATTTTATGATATGCAAAATATAACTCACTAAAGCTGTTAAACAAACAAACCAAAAAACACTTCCCCTCACTAGCACAAGATAGAATTCAGGAAGCATTATGGAGCTGGAAGTCAGCTCAGAGGCAGCCAAGCCAACTTGAGAACCTTTTCTGCAAGTTCCCAGATAGGTAGGCAGCTCAGCTATGTTAATTAACTCTAGGGAACTAAGTATACAACCTCAGGAGACAACCCTTCCCACTAATGGCTAACAGTGGTTCCTGCAGCAACCCAGCTATCTCTTAGATATGGGAAGGGGGCCATCACATCTCCCTTGAACCGTCCTTTCTCAAGGCTACAGCCTCTCCCAATTTCCTTCCCTTGCTGGTTTCCAGTTTTTCCTCCCTTCCTAGTATTCCCCCTGTGCATGTCCCCAAATATCATAATCTCCTTCAAAACAAGCCACAGATATGAGCACAGACCTCTCCAGCAGACACCAGCATCTCCCAGGAGCAGGACCACACGTGCACAGTAACAGGGTCTTGGCCTTTTTTGTTTTAGGGGCTTCTTCTTCTCTCAAACCATACTGTAGGGTCACACTGGATTTCTGGCCATTGAGGCTATTAATGTCCCTTTTCCGTATCAGCTAGTAACCTGTGGAACTTGGTGCTTATCCCTGTTGCCTCTCACCACCCTGGTGTTTAGCCCCGCATCACTAGGACCACCTGTGGTCTCAACTCTGTCACCTCTCTGGCCAGCAGCACCTTTTCCACCATTATGACTCTTGCAAAGGTTAAATGAGAATTACAGGTCTCTGCAAATCATGGAATAAAATCAAGATAAAGTCCCTCACTGGCATCTTTCCTAGAGACTATTCCCCAGATTTAAATATCTGCTGGCTGCCCAGAACCTTAGCGTGGCATGACAAGACTGAGGCAATCTAATCTGGTGAGGGCTAAGAGCTTGTGCTCTGGAGCAAAACTGCCTGGAGACTCAGCTCTGCCAGATCCCTTGCCTCCACTGCTTCCTGACTGTGTGGCCTTAGGTTAGTCACCTACACTTTCTGGGGCTCTGTTTCCGCACCTGTAAAACAGGAGTGATGACAGAACCTGTGCCTTAGCTTGTTTGATACAGAACCTGTATCTTAGCTTGGCTGTGAGGATGGAGAGGGAGAGTACAGATAAAGCATTTAGAACAGCACCTGAAGTGTAGTGAGTGCGCAGTACATGCTAGTCATAGCTACTAGCATTACCACTGCTCTATCTGCTACTACTGCTATTATTTCAAACTCCTTTTCCCAAGGTTATCTCCTAATCACATTGTGTTGCTGATTAATGCCCTCAACGATTGCCCATTGTTTCTAGAAGAAACATCAAACACTACAGAGAACCTACTACACCTTTACCTGCCTCTCCATTCACACCTACATCACCCTCCTCCCCTCCCTCTGTTTTCCTGGGCTAGCTCCTGAAACCACCATGGGATTATGGTTCATGCTGTTCCCTGTGCCTGGAAGCCTTTCCTCCTCCCCTTTTCCAGGTGAATTCCTAGTCATCCTGCAGCATCCACCCCATCCTAAGGCAGCTTTGCCTGACACACACACTGCCAACCTACTGTCACTGTGCAGGTACACAGACCCCTATGGCACTAGAGGACTTTTGTTCATAGGCCTTCTCACAGTTGGTAATTTATATTTATTTGGAGATCACTTGATTAAGGCCTTGTCTTAACAAGACCATAGTCCATGAAGGCAGGCACTGCACTTACCTTGTTTCCATTACAGCAACTTGCCCCCTACACCAAAGTGGCTCAACAAACATTTACAGAGTGACTGAATGAATAAAGGTTCCTCATGTCACCCATCCTCTGCACTGTACCAGTCCCACAGGGTCATCCCACCAAACATAGCACCTTTGTGCTTCTGTGCCCTTCCTGACACTGACTCCTTCTTCTGGAGGACCTGAGTGTCCCTGAGTCAGTTCTTTCTATCTGGCAGTGAATTTGTTATAGGGACAGTCCTGTGGTGCTTGCCTGACCCTCTCTCCCATGGGAACTATTCGGCTTTGTGTGCTCAGCACAGTCTCAGTCTATTAATTTATTAAGCAGAGATATATCAGGTAAATGTAGTTGGCTAATACTCAATACAAAAATCAGTTTTGGTGTGTTTTTCTTTACCATAAATATTTTCCGTGAGATCATTAATGAAGCTTGTGAGCTGGCTCTGGGGGAACAATGTGGTTCCCGCATGGTCAAGGTAGACAGTTCCTGAAAGAAAACACAAAAGAAAGCTGTGGTTGTTTTTCAGATATATTTCTCTCATTTTACCTAGATCTGGTTTGTATGAGCTTGAGCAGTGCCCATTTGATACATAATACCAGGCCACCAAGTTCTCTGGCCTCTTGATATGAGCTTCTTAATCCAAGCATAGGCAATGAGCAATGCAAGAACTGCACTTTCAGTATTTAATGACCTTTAAAGCCCAAGAGAGCCACCCTGGTTAATCAGCTCTCTTATGAACCCGAAACCGTATCCCACACAGAGGAAGAGCCCAATAGACATTTGTAATTAATTATGTTAGAGCTATTTTGCGTTATGACTCACACCCTGTTCTAGAGTTTCTATGCAACTTCCCTGGCAAGCGAGCCCTGATTTTGTTTTCCCGTAGTGAATTCTACATCCTTCTACCCTGTAAGAACTTTGAGAGCTTCAGAGAATACTAGGAATATAACTGATACTTCCAACCTCTCTCACAAAGGCAAATTTAGATGAAAGTGAGATATCAAAATTCACCCATCAGGTGGCCAAGATCAAAAGGCTAGATAACTCACTTCATGGGTGAGGATATGGGGAAACAGGCCCACTTGTACATGGCTGGTAGGAAAGCAAATTGGTTCAACTTCTTTATAGACAGCAATCTGGCAATACTGGCCACACTTTAAAATGCAAACTCTCTTCAACATGGCAATTCCTTTTTGAGGAGTTTATTATATACCGACCATGCTTTTGTGAAATGGCCTATAAGAGAGGATATTCAGTGCAGCATTGTCTCCAATAGCAGAATACTGGAAATGATTTAAATGTCCATCAACATATATTTAAAATAAAGAATTCTTGTACACCTATCTAGTACTTTATAAATACTGACATGGAAAAAACTCTGAGATACAGTTTAAGGATGTACAATGTTAATAGATTTGTTCATTCTTTCATTCTCGTAACAAATGTTTTTTCTCTTGTGCAGGAAGAATTTTTTTCACACATCATAAAATTTGCCCTTTCAAAGTAGAAAATTTAGTGGTTTTAGTATATTCATGAAGTTGTGCATCTATCACCACTATCTAATTTTATAACATTTTAATTCATCCCAAAAAGAGACCTCAGACCCATTACCAATCACTCCCCAGTCCACCTAGCCCCAGCCCCTAGAAACCACTAATCTACTTTCTGTCTCTATGGACTTGCCTATTCTGGGCATTTCATATAAAATGGAATCATACAATATGTGACCTTTTTTGTCTGGCTTTTTTCACTTAGCATAATATTTTCAAGGTATACCCATGAAGCCTGTATCAGAACTTCATTCCCTTTTATGACTGAAATGTATTCTACTGTATAGATATACCACTTTTTGTTTATCCATTTATCCACTGATGGAACATTTGGATTGTTTCTATTTATTATAAATAATGTTGCTATGAATATTGTGTGTACATATATGAATATGTTGTGTACATATATTTGTGTGGACGTATACTTTCTCCCATTTGATGGGTTGTCCTTTTACTTTATTGTTAGTATCCACCAAAGCATAAAAAGTTGTAATTTTGATGAAGTCCAATTTGTCTATTTTTGTTGCTATTGTTATTCGTATTTTTAGGGTCACAAGAAATCACTGCATAATCCAAGGTCTTGACGATTTTTGCTTATGTTTTCTTCTAAGAGTTTTATACTTTTAACTCTTTATTTAGGTCCTTGATTCCTTCTGAGTGCAAAGTAGGCATCCAACTAAATTCTTTTGCATGTGGATACCCAATTGTCTAACCCTATTTGTTGAAGAAGAGACTATTATTTCCACTATTGAATAGCCTTGGTATTATGTTGAAAATCAATTGTGCATAGATGTATGGGTTTATTTCTGGACTTAAAATTCTACTCTATTGGTTTATGTGTCTATCTTTATGCCAATATCACTCTGTCTTGATTACTATAACTTTGTATAAAGTTTACTTACTTTACTTTTATGGGAAGCATAAGTCCTACAACTTTGTTCTTTTCCAAGATTGCTTTGGATCTTCTGGGTCCCTTGCATTTCTAGGTGGATTTTAGGATCAACTTGTCAATTTCTGCAAAAAAAGTGCCTGGGATTTTGATATGAATTGCATTGAATATGTAGTTACTTTGGGGAGTACTGACATCTAAACAATGTTAAGTATTCAAATCCATGAATAAAGGATGTCTTTCCATTTATTTGTGTCTTTTATTTCTTTCATCGATGCTTTGTGGTTTTCAGTATATAAATCTTGTACTTCTTTTGATAAATTTATTCCTATATATTTTATTATTTTAGATGTTTTATTTCATTTTCATAATGTTCATTGCTAGTGTACAGAAATTGAACTGATGTTTATATATTGATCTTATAACTTTGCTGAACTTGTTTTTAGTTCCAATAGTTTTGGGGATGGGTTCCTTAGGATTTTCTATATACAAGACAATGTTATTGGCACTTCCTTTCAAATGTTGGTGTCTTTTGTTTTATTTTCTGTACCTAACTATTCTGGCTGAAACCTCTAGTACAATATTGAATAAAAGAACAGACAACCTTGTCTTGTTCCTAATCTTAGGGGTAAAGCTTTCAGTCTTTCACCATTAAGTATGATATTACCTGTGGTTTTTTATAGATAGCCTTTATCAGGTCAATTACATTTCCTTTCATTTTTTAGTTTATTGTATTTATACATTAAAGAAATATTTTTTGAGCACTTACTTCCTGCTAGGCACATTCTAAGTGGCAGTGATATAACAGTGGACAAATGAGAAGCTGGCATGATAGTGACAGAGAAAGAACATAAACAAATAAAGAAGTAGATGGTGAGAATGTTATGGTTCAATTATGTAATTTTTTAAAATACATGTACAAACATATATAAATATAGACAACTGGAAAGGCACACAAGACAAAAGTGGCAGCAGCTGACTCTGGGCTGACCACAATGGCTGCAGCTGGAGGGAAAAAGGGGATCCTAATTACTCTTCCTTTGGCACCTTTTGAGTTTAGTACTATGTAAATGTATTATATAGTCCAAAAAATTGGTTTTAGAATAATGTTCTCTTTTAGTGATAATTCAGAAATACAAAGGTACCACACCAAAAGAAAAGCTTTTGCCCATTCAGAGAGATGCACATGTGAACCCCAAGGGCTCCCTGGGAGCACTGCACCCTTTACAGTCTTCCACAAAGCCAGGAAGCCATTTGGGAGGTTGCTTTGGCCTTTGGTCCCATTGCTAATTTTGCAAAACAAGGCAGCTGTATTAGATTGGCTAGAGATCTGATTTTAGGGGAAGGCCAGAATGTATGGGGCACAGCACAGTATCCAAGCCAACCAACCAACCTAGATTAAATCCTACTCTACTACTAGCCATTCAGGATCTGTGTTCCTTAATAAGCAAATGGGCTAAGGTTTCAATGAGTTGGTACATGATAGTGCCCTGTTCAGTGCCTGGCACACAGTAAATCCTCCACAGTGTTTGGCAGTTAATAGAAGAAGCAGGCTAATGACCCTAAAACCAATTGGCAGTGGGTCTTCAAAAAAGAAAATTCCAGTCTCTATTGGGTCAGTTCTCCATTCCACACAGGGTGAGTGGCCATCAATCAGCACCCTGAGGCTTTAGAAACAATTTGAACCATATCTGTGTATTCAATATTCTACCTTCACCAAGACTGGGAAATTCCCATCCAATTGGTTAGGCAAAATATTTCAGCACTTAAAGGTTAAATATTTAATTATCCAGAGCTATCACTTAACCAGATAAACCTCAAGCCTGCAGAAATGGGGAAAGGGGATAGGAAAGGAAAAAGAGGTAAAGGTTGTTATTTTGTTTTGTTTGTTTTTCCCTGCCCTATGAGGGGGAAAAAAGTGGATATGTTCCAAGATCCCAGCGGTGGGAGAGATGAATTCAGTCCACAAAAGTCTACTTCAACCATAATGTAGAGGAAATGCTGGGAATTTACAATAAATAAATAAACAAGTACAGTAGATGTTAAAGGGCTCTAACAGCCAGCTTGAGATCCTGGTTATCTCATCTGAATTCTCCATTTGAGGGAAAAGTTCCTGTTTTCTGATAGACAAGACTGAAACAGAATGCACCTCCACTTTCCCAGGGTAGCTCGGAGGGAAGAGGTCAACCAATGATGGGTGTGAGTGATAGGAGCTGGAGGGAATTAGGGATTAAGGAGGTGTGGTGCTGAAATAATAGGAACTAAATGATAGCCTCTGAGATTTACTTCAAAAGAATGGGGAGCCTCCTTCCCTCCCTCTGCACCTGTGGGTGTTCACTATATCAGTCTACTTCTATGGGTGGAAATTTCCATAATAACAAAATTCGAAGAGAGAAGGTGGGTGGAAGCAAGGGGCCAGAGGAGCTGTCTCCAGCAGGTGACTGTGCCGCCCAAAGAACAGGGAGGGAAAAGAAATCAGAAGGTCCCCTAGCTCCCTCCTGAGCTCCCCTGCTTAAGTACAGGCAGGGGACACACAATCAGGAGGTCCTAGCCCTCAAAGCCCTCACAGGGAGAAACAGTCACTATTCCAAACATAAGCAAACGACCTAGAGAGTTGAAATCAGCTACTGATCAAGGAAACCTAAGTCATGGTTGCTATTCTGCCCCAAATATGGGAACAGTCACCAACTACTCATCAGCAAAGAATAAATTCACCTCAAATCCGGGTGCCACGACCTGCCCACTTCACCTTCGGCCTCTCCCTGCTCAAGCTGCACGCGGCTCTAAGGCGCTAGGAAGCCCTTCACATAAGGTCCGGGGCAAAAGGGTGAGTCCCGCCGGGGTGCAGGGGGCGGGATCCTCCCGCGTGCGCCAGTGGGCGGGCAATGGCCACAGGCCAGATCGAGCTTGATTTCAAGTTCAACAAGCCTGTTCCGCCTTGCGGACCTCAAAAGGCACAATGTGCTCCTGGTCCTTGAGCCCAACTCACAGGTTCCCCCTGTATTTAAAGCACAAATTGCACAGTTCGCTAATTCTTTTAAGTCTCCCAGCGAGCTACAGTACGGAGGTAAAGTTCTAACTGCACGAGTGAGGAAAATGAGATTTCGAAAATAAAAGCTGCTTGGGGGCCATCCGGGCGGAGTCTGGAGCTCAGGCGCCTGAGGTCGTAGCCTCTCGGTCCCACCCAGCGCGCTGGCAGAGTTGCTGTCCCAACCCTGCGCACTGGCGGCCCACGCACCGCTCCGCCAAGGGGGGAGCATCTAAACAGTCACCGCCGCTGGACATGCCTGCATTTTGCAAGCACCGCTTCAGTTGGACCTTCCGAGTTGGAAGTCCCGAGGCAGGCGAAGACAAAAAGAATCCTAAACCCTTGTTCCCAGAGGGCGGGGACAGGTGAAAAGGACTAGGCTGGTCCTACACCTCTGGGGAGTCTAAGGAAAAGAGTAGCAAGAAGTCTTAGGGTTGCAGGTAGGACCTCAGGGAGCCGTTTCCACGAAGCGGACGAGCAGACACGTCCCTCCAGGTCTTTCGATCCAAAACACATCCCAGATGAGGGAATGCCGCTCCCACCTGGAGCAAAAACTCATTCCCACGTCGGTTCTAGAACCCGCGTGCTCCCACGGCCTCCCGACCAGCCCAGCGCAGGTGCCCGCTCCGGCCTCACCTGCCAGGCGGCCGAATTCGTGCGCACGAAGCTCGCGCAGGCTCCGCTGGCCGTAGCCGTAGGCGAGGGGCTGCGAGCTCGAGTCCCAGAACCGCGCGAAGTCCAGCAGCTCAGCCCCCCGCGACGCCGCCCCGCCGGCCATGACCCAGGCCTGCTCGCCGCACCGTCCAGGCCCGTCCGGCGAGGGGAAAAGCCGAGGCCGTCCTGCCGCGACTCCGCCCCGCCGCGCCGGGATCGCGCCTCTGGGCCGGCGCGGGGCACGGGTCCGCGGCCGAGGGGCGGCGCCTCCGGGGCGGGCCGGGCTTGCCGGGGGAGCGCTGACTCACCGGGTTTCACTTCTTTCCTGCCCTTTTCCCACCTGGGGCGGGCCGAGGCAGGGCCCGTTTGGGTTGTTTCTTCAGACAACTTCCCGACGCAACCCACGGGGATGCCCCCAGACGCTTAAAATCCAAAGTCCTCGCATACCTGTGGTCCCCCAGAGAGGCTGGTGGAAGAACTAACGAACTGCTTTTTCCTGCTCGGCACTTCCTGAAACCGGGCCGTGCTCCCCGCCCGATCCTCCTAAACCCGAGACCCGCGGAGTGGACCCTCACTCTCTGTGACTGGCCCCTCGCGTGCTGGACTGGGCGTTTTCAAGGAGACTTCCCGGTTGCTGCTTCCCAGTGGGGCGTGCGCTCTGCGTTTCTGAGAAGGCGACTGAGCAAAGGGTAGAAGAGGAAAAAGATTGGGGATCCACGGGTTTGGCCAAGATCTCGGAGGCCGCACACCGTTGGAACCGGGCAGCTAGTGTGCGACCAGAACCAGAGCGCCTCTTCCGCTCTGCCCTCGGGCTCGCGTCCTCGGTGCCGGAGGCAAAGCGTCTCTGTCCCAGTCACCACGGCCTCAAGTATGCTGGGGCAGGCCAAACCCATGGGCCGAAGTGCGGCGCCGGCCGCAGAGCGGGCGGGCAGGTGCGTTAAGTGCCGCCCAGGTACCCAGCAAGGAGCCCTCGGGTGCGATTCCAGATTTTGGGCCCGCCTCCGAGGATGGAGTGAAAGGCGACCAGGTCTTGGATGCCCAGGCGAGGTGCCCGCTGTGGAACTAAGCCGGGGGAAAAAGGCAGTGCGGAACCTACTGTGGAGAGGGCAACGGAATGGGGGCCTAGGTGAGCTGGGCGGAGTGGGGTCGAGGGGTGGACCGCTGGCCCTCGAAGCATACCGCGGTGAGACGAGGTAGGAAGGGTGCCCAGGCCACGAGCCAGCGCTGTGCCGCAGGCCCCAGTGGGTGGGCTACAGGGGCCTTGGGATGCGTGTTGACAGGTGCTGCAAGCTCCTGGATCCAGCCTCTGCCTTTGTAAAAGGTACTCCTAGGGCTCTGCTGCCGGGTGGGCCAGCGTGAAAGCCAGGGGGAGGGCAGTGCATAGACATACCTCTCCCGGACTGTTGGGGTCTGGGGAGGATCTATAAGGCCCTGGCTAGAGGTGCGGTGTTCTGGGGCTGCAGTGTTACAGCCGGTTCAACCGGCGCCCGCCTCAGTGAACTCTGCAGGCAGGCCGTTACAGCTCTTCTTGCTCACCGCCCAATGCCCAGGACCTTAGTCGACAAGCACTCCTGTTGTTCTGTAAGGGAAGAGTGTATTGATGAAGAAATACCTATGCCTGCCCATTGGCGTCACTGCCCACCCACCCCACTTCTGCTTACCTTCTGGTCATTCTTGGAGCAGAAGGCTTGGGCACGGGCACCATCTTGGGCCCTCTCCACTGCCCTCCTCCTGTAAATGTGATTTAGAGCGACAACAATAACAAAGGCAGGCACTGCCCTGGGCAGGTGTACACTCTTCCCTGTACTAGTTACTCACAATTAAATAAACAGATCTATGGTGGCTGTTACAAGTGGGCAAGGAGAGGCACAGAGAGGTAGAGTAACTTGCTCCAGGGCACATAACTTGAGGAAGATGAATAAGCTAACACCTGCGAAGTCGGTCTCCAGAGCCCAACCATTTAACTGTGTTCAACAGTCTTTCTCTGTAGGCCTCTGCAAGCCTCAGGGCCTCAGTTTCCATGTCAGTAATTTTGGAGAGTGGTGGGTGTTGGTTTTGCCCCTTACCCCTCCTTTTAATGCCATAATTTACAGTGAGGATCTCCTCTAGGCTAGGCATTTTCAGGCATTAACTTGCATGGAATCACCTGGAAGCCTATTAAAAATGCAGATTCTGATTCTTTAAGTTTGGGGTGGAGCATGAGGTTTTGTGTTTCTAACTGTCCTGGAGGACACTAACTCTGGGGGCTGTGAGTGAAGCCCTAGGTCATTTCCGTGGGAAGGTGGGGAGTACCTCTCCTCATGTTGTTCTGTGGCCAAATAACAAACCCCAGATTCACAGGGTGCTTGCTTTAGGACAAAGTTGCCTAGTGAATCATCTGGGCCAAGTCAGTGCAGAACCCTTTTTTCTTACTTTTAATTGTGATAAAATCTACCAGTTTAGCCATTTTAAAGTGTACAGTTCAGTAAAGTTAAATATTCATATTGTTATGCAATCAATCTTCAGAACTCTTCATCTTGCAGAACTAAAACTCTACCCATTAAACAACTTCCCATTTCCCCCTCCCTGTAGCCTCATGACAACCACCATTCTATTTTCTGTCTCTGAATATGACTATTCTAAGTACCTCATATGAAAGGAATAATATAGTGTTTGTCTTCTTGGGACTGGCTAATTTTACTTAGTGTAATGTCCTTAAGGGTCACCGATTTTGTAGCATGTGACAAGATTTCCTCTTTTAAGGCTAAATAATATTCCACTGTATGTGTATACACACCACATTTTGTTTATTCATTCATTCACTGATGGGCACTTGGATTACTTCCATCTGTTACCGGGCTGAGTTTATTCTCCTCGGTTTTTGTCCCCACCATAACAAAGAATTGAAAGGCAGAAACACAATAGTGAAGCAGAATTAAACTTTTTTTTGAATACACTCCAAATGAAGAGCAGGCCAGAGTCAAAGAAAACAAAGGCCCCAATCTGTTAGGCAGGAGGCCTGTACATTACATTCTGGCTAGGAGGTGTGTCTTTGACAAGGTGGGGTCATCTGATTGACAGGTCCTCTATGTAGCATCCCTCTCCGTTCACATGTCCTTTCCCAGATGAGGTGTGGTTTGGGCAGTTCTTAATTTTGTTCGATTGTGGACATGTTAGGATCTGGCTGGGACTGGTTTGGCCTGGTCCTGATAGGCAAGGAAGCTATTTCCCTGCAAAGCCTTCGTTATCTTCACATGGGACCCCTGCCTGGGCAGTTTGGGTGGTTTTTTGCTTGAACCTCGTCTTCCCCTTCCCCAGCCGCTCATGTCTGTCTTCCTACCTACCATTCCTAACACACCTCTTGGCTGTTGTGAATAATGCTGCCATGAACATGGGTGTATAAATATCTCTGAGACCCTGCTTTCAATTCTTCAGGATGCAGGTATAGAATTGCAGGAGAGAGGAAAGGGGCTACTTCTAACCAGGGAGCCTGGGAAAGGTTACCCCAAAAGAAGAAGGCTTTGACCTGGGCCAAAACAATGAGCCGGTGAGGAAGGGAGAGTAGTGGCATGTGGGAACCTCAGCCTTTAACTGCCACACTCAAGCCCATTTCACCAAGATTCTCTAAGCCTTTCCTGACGGAAAGAGGCAGTTGGGAGATCAGATTGCTCACTTCCTGAAGCCAAACCTCTAGCCCCCACCAACGAATGCCATGTGTTCACCATTCAATGATCCTGTGCTATAAGCCTGTATCATCTTCCCTGTTCTCACTGCTGGCCTTGGCACTTTGGAGGAACCTGAGCTGATGCATGCTGAGGTCCAGAGAGTCAGCTTCTGCACCCAAAGTTTACAGCTTTGTAGCAAAAAAGCTCTTCAGCCCCTATTTACAGCCCTCTCTCACCTAGAAACCATGAAAAAGTATGTGTTTATGCACTAGACCGGGACACAGGAGAGACAGCCCTGATTTTGTACTTAAAGTCCCTCCCCTTTGTCCCTGGTTCTCTACTCAGGACGCTGTCTCCTCAAAACCCCTTTATCCCAAGTTAACAGACTTCTATAGGACCCCACCCCCCGGTATCCCCTGGTGATGGACTCCATTTTTGAGAATCTCCACTATACATAAGGTGTCATTCATGTACTATTCCTTGTCACTCACTTAGCGAAAGCTCAGTGAGTGCCTCTCTGAGTGAGTTGAGGAAGAAGGCTGGGCAGATTTGGGAGCAGAGTTGGAAAGTTTTAAGTGAGGCTAAGGAATTGGAATTTCCATTCTGAAGAGTTTTGAGCAAGAAAGTGCCCCCCAGAGTTTATTTAGGTAGAACTGTTGAATGATCATGACCAGGCTGGATGGGGTGGTGAGAATTGGGGGCAGGAAAACCATCTACAACCTCTTGTAACCTGTCCAGGCTTGAATCACTGAAAATGAAAATGGGCTTTGACAGCGGCATTCATTCACTGTTCAATGGGAGCTGCTCCCTGCTAGGGACATGGTAGGTGCTGGGAAGACAACAGTCAGTAAGACAGCCTCTGCCTGCGAGAGCCCTGGAACAGTGAAGAATGGGACTGCCATCAGATCACCCCTCCACACTGCAGAATCCTGGAGAAGTGGGACTCCAGAGGTCCTGGAAAAGAAGGTGGCAGAGGGAGGGCAGCTTTCCATGTGCAAAGGCTGGAGGCGTGAAAAGTCTCCGAAAATTCCAGAAGCAGGATCTTCAGTGAGGCTGGAGCACAGGTTGAGGCCTTAGGGATAGCAACATTTAGGGGGTATCTGCCCCAATCCACTGACTGGTGAGAGGTACAAAGAGAGAGGTAGAGGAGGGCTAGAGTGCCTCGGGGTAGCTAAGGCTAAAAAGACAGGGCAAGGACTCATCAGATAATTGGATTTGCTGGTTAGGTGGTATGCAGTACCCTAAGTGACAGTTTTGTTATCTTGGGGATGGAAGGCCCATTATAATGTTCAAATCTTAAATGGTGAGGAAGGATACAGGTTTTTCTGCTCGATCATGGAGGTAGTTGAAAGCTGCAGTAATGATGGATCAACTTTCCTGCCAAGTCATGATAGGGGGTGGTTGGTGTTTCAGAGGAGGCTGAATTTGGTTTGGATAATGAAATTAATTTAGTACTTCCTGCTAGAATGAAATGTGTACCTCCCTAACAATGAAAACCTGTCGACCTGATATGCTGGCACTAGAGAAATGAGAACAGAGCCTGCACAGCAGGACAAAGAAAGACAGCAGTGGAGCAGGTTTTCTCAGAAACCTGGT